TTATCTACTATATATATAGAAAGAGAGAGAAAGAGGGGGGGGGGTGGTATACTCCCCGCTAACATAAGCATTTGAAATAAAACTATAGAAAATTTGTACTATTTAAAGTCTTAAAATTGATCCGCATTAAAAGCGTGAGATAAACATAAATTACTTGATCAATACAGATATGATATCAAACCCGTCCTGATCAACAATGCAGCCCTTATACACTCACAGATAATACAGAAAATCGTATTCAATTCATTTTATACTTATCTTCAAATATTTCTATATCATAGTCTTATGTTTTTAACAAAGACTTGCTGATAAGTAGTACTTTAAGAGTGATGTGAGTAACCCTTAATTAATATAATAGTATGATCGTTTGTAATAGAGACTTAGCATGATTACATCAAACAATCGGTTAAATGCAAATACCGTACGCCCTTAATTAATATAATAGTATGATTGTATACACTTTGATATTTAGCCTATCCAGGGCGTTACTTTGGTACCTGGCAAAAATGTGACAGATAAAAGTGCAAGAGGTAAACAATGTTATTTATATTCATAAAAGAAAGATTCAAAATTACTGTTTGTATTGTTTTAGCGCCATGGATTCATCCCATATGATCACACCATTCTGTTTACTTGAACGCTCTCCTTTCTACATCATATGCATTTAAATTTATTCAGTCAATCTGTCAAATGCAAGTAAGCCCTTAATTAATATAATAATATGATTGTATACACTTTGATATTTAGCCTATCCAGAAGAGAACCCATCTATCCATAAGAAATATATAACTAATTCACTATATTCTTTTCCGTTGTCATATTCGTTCTTTGTCCGAAGGTAAGTTTCTTGGTGATCAATAATGCATTGGATTTCGCTCCACACCGTTGTACTGTAATAAAGAAGAGTAGAACAAAACACAAAAAATTGAAACAAAATATCAAAGTTTGAAAGAAAATACATATCATTTGGTATTAAAGTGTACCAATCACTAACCACAAATAACTTATGTATTGCTAGAATTAATAAATAAAACTTCAACATTTAACCAGGCATCTAATGGATTCACGGTTAAAAGGTAAGGATACAAAATAGTGCATGTGGAACCCAAGTTGGACTTCCGTCCTGTGCGGTGCGAGCCCTATTAGAAGCGAACGCAACAGGTGCACTGCATACTGCATAGTCTACTCACAAGTTTCTTGTTTATAATTGAGAGTGTAATACATATATATTATATATATAGTGACTTAAATTAAAATATTTATATGTAATATCTCTAAAGCTCATATTTGGAATAAAGTAATACAACATGGAACTAGTAACATATAAAACAATATATTTTCTGGTGATCAGAACACTCTAAAGTAGAAATAATAAATGAGGGGTTTAAGAAAAGACACAAATGTGACATGACAAGCATTGCAAAATACCATAATTACACATGTTTATCTAAGTAATTCCAGTATATTAAGACTGGGAATGGTTCATTTTCCTAAGACGGTCAAAGTGGAGGTGTCGTGGTATAGTGGTCCATTCACTTGCCTTTCAATCCAAGGGTTGAGGGTTTGAATCCAAGCCAACAATAATGTCCTTTGACTGGAATTAATCCACATTTACTAATCTCTACTCAGGTATTAAATGGGTACCAGGTTTCTGGGAGTTTCTGGGAAATGGCACTTGGCTGGGATGTTGGCACCTCTGGAGTGGAGAATGTGCCTACATTTTCATGCATTGTGTGCAGGCAAACATTAATCCAATGACCAATGGTAATACTATAACAATAAAGGGCTTAGAGACATTGCCAATGTATCAAGCCCTATAACAAACCCAGATCGTTATCATTAATTAAATAAGCATTAATTAATACATATTAGGAATTTTGAAAGGGCAGCTTTACAACGGGGTAACTTATGCTAATCTCGTATAGTTCTTGGAAAAAAGGAGTTGACACGTTGCAAAGTTCTTCATTCGATTACTCTGTATGCATCAAATGTCCACAAACAGTGGGTAAAAAAGCCATGCAACAACGCCGTCGAGAGAGCTCAGATTTTATGTCGAGCCCAGAAGTCCTAAATTGGCCCACGGCATCTGACAGGTGGCATACCGTATTACAAGTACTCAGAGTCATATACACAAGAGTTTGACCAACTTGATTTCAGTTGGTCAGAGCATGGTGTATTTTTATTCAGTGTCTGCCCATCATAGCAGTATTTGCAAAACTGTGGAACACTCATATATGGTTGGCAAAACTCAAATACGGTTGGCCAAACTCAAATATGGTTGGCCAAACTCTCCTGACAAATGACACTACGAATCGGAGCATTGTCAAATGCAAAGAATCTTTTACATACCATTTCACTCCCATCTACCACGTAGGGAGTCCTGAAATTGCCATCTCCATGACGCTGTTGACAAGACAAACAATAAAAAAAGACATAATAAATTCTTTTTCTTTCAAAACATAATCTATAAAATCAAAAGTATATTGATTAAAACAGATAAACAAGAATCTAGTTGTATCTTGAACAATAACAATTTAAAATAAAACATGCCGCACTAGACATGTTTATTCATTGTTTGCATAATTTTTAAACAAATGTTTTTCTTGACTGCTCAAAAAACTTGCCAGAGGATTGTCCAACATAGCAAGAAATAATGTAAGCAAAGTGAACCCCATTCATAGAGATGCAATTATTAGCAGGTGAATGGAATGACTGGTAATGGGGGAGAAGAAACATGTATACGTTGAAACAGTTAGTAAAATGGTCTATTCAATGTGATCATTCATTGTGCAGCTGAATATAATTCCTTACTGATATTCAGATTTTGACATTTACGTGGATATTTCAAGCAGTGGTATATGTCCTGGAGGCTATGTACGGGATGGGGGGGGGGGGGGGTGGCGGTGCACATTCACCATCCATGCCTTGATATTTTTTGAGGATGAGGGTTGTTTTGTTTTTCAATATTTGTTGTTATTTTGATAACCCTTGCTGTGCCGGTGTCAAATTCATTGTATATGTTGCATAATGATTTATGCATTGTTTTAAGCACACAATGCTACAATGGAAAATGAAGTGCAGGTGTTTGAAAACTATATACTGTTTATCTTTTTGGTAAGATATAGGAAGCCTTTGGTGTATGTATTACATGATAAATACCATGTTGAACAGGGAGATTATCTGTGAGGTATATAAACACATTGACAAGGAAACTGTTTTTACCAGTGCATCAGTTCCGCGCAGTCGATCCAATGCTTGACCAACAGCATATCGGCGTCCTTCAAGGGAGTTGTACTCATCAGAACCATTGAAAGATTCGTTTCCGTAGAAGCCTCTATTTTGTCTACTTGGATTGTCATACCGTTGTTCACTGAAGAAAAAAACATCATTGTTATATATTTTGTTGTTATCAGTGTAAACATTGTGAGAAAAAGCATCAACAAATTTACAAAATGTGTCGAGACAGAAGACCATCACTAAGAACTGTGATGGTCCAATCAAGTGGTTCACTGCATCTCAAAGAGAATTGAGAGGGATCTGTGGTTACACAGAGTTGGACAGATTGATAGATAGATAAACAGGTATGCAGATGGATAGAAAGGAGGATAAAGGTGTATAATTATATAAATAAATGTAGACAGGTAGATAGAGATTTGTACAAATAGGCAGCAGATTTATAGATTGATAGACACTTTCTTAATATCATGCATACAACATGTCAAGAAGAGTTAAATATCACTTGGCAAGGCACCTCTAGATTTATATATTTATTTATTTATTTCTGATATTTAGACAAGGTGACTGATTTATCACCAGTAATGGTGGTCTTCCATGAGGCCCTGTTAAACATAATGATGTACATTATAGTTTAACAAATATAGATATGATAATAATATTAATAACAAAATATTGAACATAAATTCATAACAGCAATAAACAATAAGTAAGAACATGTATAAACATATATACAAAGAGTTTTGGTATGCTCGTAATAAAAAAATGGTTTGTTTGTTTTGTTTTGCCTTAAATACATTTAAGGCAAGTCAAAAATACATATATAGGTCCCATACTTTATGAGGTATACTATTATTGAATTGTGTCAACATAAAACTACCATTTAATGTAATGTGTTATCCAATTCAAGCTCTAGAGCTATTATCTTGTTACTACAGTCGTCATATATATTGAAATCATACATGTAGATGTGGTAAGTAATAGCTTGAGCTCGTTCATTTGTAAGTGTATTGTAATACTCACGCGAGCATCAGTTTTGTTGCTTGATTTCGTCTGACACCTTGTACGAAAACGCAGCAGACACAGGTTATGAGGACAAGAACAAAACCAAAAACTCCGAGAGCAATACCAATGATGGCTCCATTCGACAATCCTTGAGGAGCTGCAAAATAAATGTATCAGATATGAGATTAGGAAAAACATGATCAAACAAATATACATGTACATGTACGCAAAGAAAAGAGAGTACCCTCACATCCATTTCTTGTGAAACTGTATATAACACCATATATATATATATATAAACGTGTACGCCTAGGGAGAATGAGTGAGAGGGAGCATAAGCACACTAAAAATGACTAATTACACAACTTACCATTCTGGCAAAGGTCTCCTGTAAAACCAGCTGGGCAATTACAAGGCTGTCCAGCAGAAGTACATGTCCCACCGTTCTGGCAGTTTGTTTGATCGCACTGAACTGTTCATTTCAAAGATATATGAATGATTCAAATTACTTCAGATAACTGACCAACTTATTTTATCGTTATTTATTGACAAGGTATAAACAGTAGAAAACACAAGAACTCCATAACTACTCTAATATGAACAAATAATAATAATAATAATACAGTATACTGAATACTACATGTGCTTTGACAGCTAGATGTGTGCAATTTTTGAAATTGCCTAATTTATAGAACTATAAGTACAGAATATGATAAGTAGCGTCATTCCTCTTATTTTAGTACCATTTTTGTTGGGCATCTCTTCACGGTTGACTGCACAGGGGTCGAATCCCATGGATTGGACAATGTCAAACGCCATGTGCACCAGCACCATGCCTTTTCTTGCCTATGTATTATTACAGAACCATCTTTGATTCGATATTTTATGATGACATAACAATTGGTTCAAATGCAAGTCACTCCAAGATATCATAATTTGAAGAATTATTTGTCACAAACAAATTAAAAAACAAACACTATTTGCTGTATGTTCGAGTGTATCTTGAACACATCTTATCCCTTGGTTGCATCAGATACTCACTCTAGCCCTTAGTGATCTAGAGTTCATTACCAATTAATCTTAGATATGATTTTGCAAATAATTAGGGACCGTCAAATTAAAATCACAAACTTTTAACATTTGCAAGGCTATACTATAAATTTCTAATGCAAACAAGTATCTGAAATTGACCTGTGATTGTGTCCTCTGGCATTGCCTGTCATTTGCGAAGGTGGCTCTTTATACATTGCATACAGCTGAACTCATGTCAAGATACCAAGTCACAAACAACAACATTATTTGTTTTGACAACTAAAAAGATAATATCCTCTTGTAAGGTGTCTTAAAAGAATGGCTGGTGAAAAAAGCCTGGATTTTACTCTTACCTTCTGCCGATATAGATGCTACCAGAGTTTGACCATTAGCTGATAAGTTTTGATCAATGTTGGTAGATAAGGCAGATAAACTCACAGCAAGCCCATCTGCTACACTTTGGCTCTCAGCAGCAAGTTCCACTTGCACGTCACCGACTACGCTACCTTGGCTGAATGACAGCACTATGCAATTAGCATTAACAAGTTGAGAACCTAACTGTTCCCTTACGTATTGGCTGAACTGATAAATGAGAAAGTAGAGAAAGCCAGAATCAGAGTATGCTTGTATACATATGTAGTTCATGTAAATATATTTTTTTTTTTTCAAAGATAAAGTTCAGTTCCAGTCATGCACTGAAAAATTAATAGATACAGGGTGATTATGTAGTGCACACAAATTGATGTAAACTATGAGGTTCTGGAAACAACAAAATGATCAGAAATACAACACTAATAACCCATAGCAGTAGAGTGTCTCCTCTTACTTCTCCAATATACCTCTGTCTATATGAATGTTCCTCTGACTTTGACATCAACCCATTATTGCAGTGAAGATATATTTTCTGGTAAGTTTAACGCTTTCATGACCATGTGACGTTTGACTTTTGACACCTCTCACCAAAGATCCAATCAGTTCATCCTTTAATGCTCATGCATACTTCATCCAAGTATGGTTTGAATTACTACAATGTGTTTTCAAGCTATTGCGTAAACAAGATATATTTTTGGTATTTGAAAACACATGTATGAGCCTGTGACATTTGACCTTCAAGCTTTAACACCAAAAATATAGTCAGTTCAACTTTTCATACTCATACTTGTACATATTTCATCCAAGTTTTGTTCAAATGGGACGAACGGAGGACGGACTGGCAAGACGATAAAAACAATTTCTTGTGCACCATTTTCAGTGGCGGAGGCATAAAGAAAGGACTACAGGTATATTCTCTCTTTTATTTCATGGATCTACAAGTAGCATTTGTTCAGGAGGAACCAACACTTTATTACAAAGTTCCAGTAGACTACTGCACTACCTGACATTTGTATGGACATCTTAATGTGATATATAATGTATGGTGATTATGTAGTGTGCTGAAGAAGCACCATTTGTACATATTTGAGTCTATAGAATTGTCATCAATTTTCTCGCATTTACTGGTGAAGAAAGACATACTTACAATGTAACAGAATGCAACTTCATATTCCATGAATTTGGCCGATGACCTATCGGTTAATTCTGGTGTATACGTCAGGGTTTGACCATTCAGACTTTGTCCTGTAATCTTCACAGTCACTTGACTAGTGGACAGACTGCTTGGGAGAGCTGGATATACATGAACAAAGAAACAAAACAATGACATGAAGCCAAGATATTTATGGATACTTTAATGTGTTTCCTCCATGCAAAAATCATGAATACATTTGGTTTTGTATTCTCATCAAACAAGGTTTCCATAATGAGACCACAGATGGAAAGTGTACAATATATGCAATAGAGTGGTGAAGTGTGACGTCATCAAAAATCTGTTTTTAGAATTTCTCATTTTCTTTTTCATATTCCGAAATAACATCAAAAATAATGTCCAAATGTCGAAAACCAATTGAATATGTTAAGTATTGGCTGAGATATGACCATCTGAATAAATATACTCCCCATAGGAACTCAGTGTTATATGCTCTGGCTCCTAACCATTAGGAGCCAGAGCATATAAGTTGTTACATACTTTTGGATATGTAACTATTAAATCACATGCAAACTAGATGGAACTTCGACTGTGATGCCTCTGTCATATAGCAATTTTACAAATCAAAATGGAAGAAATTTTTCATATTCAAGTTCCGTTGTAATCCATTAACAATTCTCAGAATATTGTGATTACAAGCTATTTCTCATATACATGTATGGATCTTTGACCTCATGACCCAAAAATGCAAGATACATACATGTCTTGAGTTTGATGGTAATCCATCCATCGGTTCTAATGATAATGCAATGACATGCTATTTTTGCATACATAATGAGCCCCATGACCTTTGACCTTGACTTCATGACCCCAAAAACTAATCAGTTCATTGCCTCAGCAAGATACATACATGTCCTGAGTTTCATGGTAATCTGTCCATCTGTTCTAATGATAATGTGATCACAAGCTATGTTTGCATACATAATGAGCCCTGGGACCTTTGACCTATGACCTCGTGACCCCCAAATCTAATCAATTCATTGGTTCTGCAAGATACATACATGACCTAAGTTTGGCAGGAATTCATCAATCGGTACTTGAGATAACGCGATCACAAGCTATTTTTGCATACATAATGAGCCCTGTGACCTTTGACCTCGTGACCCCAAAATCTAATCAAATCATTGTCTCTGCAAGTTACATAAACGACCAAAGTTTGGTAGGAATCTATCAGTCTGTTCTTGAGATAACGCGATCACGAGAACGGGCCGTACGTACGTACGTACTATGGACAGACAGCCCGAAAACATAATGCCTCCGGCTACTTCGTAACGGAGGCATAAAAAACGATATATAAAAATGCTATTTGGATGATGAACTATTCCTTCATGAAATTTTGCATGAAACTGAACGAACTTGATATTGATTTGTTTGTTATTATCTATCTGTAATTTAATTTTACCAAGTTGGTAGAAACCTATATTATTCCTTATTGAAAAAGAAAAACTTATATTTAGACATACCATTGCAAGAATTTGCATTGACTAATGTGAATCCAGCATTGCAGATACAAGTGTATGATCCATCCAAGTTGACACATCTTCCATTACTACAGAGACTCGAATCAAGCTCACACTCATTAACATCTATGTAAAGTGGTAAAATGAAAATTTGGAACAATATGATGAATAATCTTTAATAATAATTATCATAATATAAACAATGATAATATATGATGGCAATACTAATAATGATAATAATAATAATGATAATAATAACAACTATATTAACAATTTAACAAAAAATAATAATGATGGTGATATTGACGATGAAGGAAATGGTTGAGTTCTGGACATGAGATTGCATTGTGCAAACAAATATTAGTGAGGCTACTTTTATCATACCCTACCACACATTGTTAATAGAGATCGTTGTGGGAATCACAATCTCATACCTGCTCTTTAAATGACCTTTATAATGTTTCTTTCTTTTTATTATTTTATTCGCTCTTCATCTTTAATTTCCTGATTAGAAAGGAGCAATTGCTCTACATAAAAAGTGCATGTATGTAGGTATGTAATATGATTCAACCTTATAGCTTACCTGTTCCACACAGAGTCCCAGTATAGCCATCAGCACAAGAACAAGTAAAAGAGTTAACTCCATCAGCACAACTTCCTCCATTCATACAAGGATTGCTTTCACATTCATCGATATCTGTGCAAATTGAGTTCCAAAGACAATGATCGGGATTAAAGTGAAGAGAAACTAATTTTCATTTTGACAGATTAATCTTTTTGGGCAGATAAAAGGGAAAATTAAGTTTAAGTCGTATTTCAAATGTAAATGCATGACAGTTCAGGAATAAATTACATCATTTGTAAAACTAATTTGACCTTTCATACCTCTAACACCTAAAGAATATTTAATAAAGTAATCCTTATATGCCAGTTGATTGGGCCAAGTTTGGCATAAATAGCTTCACAGCTTCCTAAGATGTTGCAGTAACATTATATACCTGATTTGTCATTTGCACATATTTACCAACAAAATTATCTCTAATTTATTTAATACTTTTCCTTTTTATTTATTGATTTATTCATTTGCTTGTCATTTTTATTTATTTCTTATTATTATTAAAACTAAACTTATATATATATATATATATATATTTTTTTTTCTTCAGGGGAGGTACTTACTAGTCTCGCACAATGTACCGGTAAAACCGGTATTAGCACAATCACACTGGTTAGTACTCCCGCATGCTCCGCCATTCTGACAAGCAGCTCCACCACACTCGGCTAAACAGAAAATAAAGTTGTAGGATATTTGGATTAATGCATTCATAATACTCTGATACATTCATTGACTGGGGGTTGGTGCCAAAAAGCAGAGAGAGAGAAGCTTTATATCTTACAGTCACGACGTTGCCATTCCTTTATACATTTGGGCGGTGGTTTACTTCATATCGGAACAAGCCTTTACTCTTTTATGTTAACTGGGATGGGTGTTGAGTTCAATATTCAGTAAAACACCAAAAGGGTACTTGAGGAGATGGATTCCGTGAAGTATTCTGATATATAGCAGACATTAAGATACAGCCGGGGTATAGCGTTCCATTACCATGAACTGTACACAGAAAAATGCATACGGAACTACACAAGTATGTGGCATAAAAGTGTGATCCACAACTTTTATTTATTTCTTAGCATAATTTGAATATGAGAGCATTTGGAATTGGAAAGCCATCCTTTCAGGGGAATTATTTTTGATGATATTCTTCCACAACAACATGAAATGAAAGACAAAGCTCATATACGTTCTCTTCATATGTTTTCAAAGGTGGAAGTTTTGGGTACATGTACATACCGTCACATGTACTGCCATCCACACTTAATCTAAAGCCGCTGTCACAGATGCACATGTAAGATCCATCGGTATTAGTGCATTCTCCATCCCCACAGGGATTAGCAACCGCAGCACACTCATCGACGTCTAAAAAAGAAACAAAAAGACATTAAAAAAAATGCTAAATGCAAATGCATCTTCTCTATGCCTCCGCCCTAAATTCAGTTTTGGAAATGGATGGATTTATTCACGACATATCACACTAAAAAGAAAAAGCCTATCTATTGTGGTTCTTGAGATATCAAAATAGCAAGGCTACAACCTATAAATTCATGAATTGAACTCCGTGAACTTTGATGTAGTTACTCCAAAATGTATTCATATAATTTTCTATGGTGATACTTACTATCTTCAAGTTTGAAGTTCATATCTGAAGTGGGGCTTGATATATCGCTTTAATGAGAAAGCAGGGCAGACGTAGAGACGGGCAGACCTTAATCCTTCTATTACAGGCAGTTTTGATAAAAGTAAGAACTGATGCCCTTGTTTATGCTACTGGTGAAAATTTTGCAATTACATGCATAACTGTAAATGATCTATGATATAAGTAAGAACTGACACCCTTATTTATGCTTCTGGTGAAAATCTGACCATTACATGCAGTACTGTAAATGATCTATGGTATATGTAAGAACTGATAACCTAGTTTATGTTTCTGGTGAAAATCTTACCATCACAGGCAGTACCATTCTTGTTGGCCTCAAACCCACTGTCACAGGTACATTCATAAGTCCCGTCAACATTGTTACAGGTTCCATTCCCACATGGGTTTTGAATGTTTGCACATTCATTGATGTCTTAATATGGAAAAGAAAACAGAAAAGAGGTAATCTATTGATCATTTCTATTAAAGGATACACTTATCATACCCTACCACACATTGTTAATAGAGATCGTTATGGGAATCACAATCTCATACCTGCTCTTTAAATGACCTTTATAATGTTTCTTTCTTTTTATTATTTTATTCGCTCTTCATCTTTAATTTCCTGATTAGAAAGGAGCAATTGCTCTACATAAAAAGTGCATGTATGTAGGTATGTAATATGATTCAACCTTATAGCTTACCTGTTCCACACAGAGTCCCAGTATAGCCATCAGCACAAGAACAAGTAAAAGAGTTAACTCCATCAGAACAACTTCCTCCATTCGTACAAGGATTGCTTTCACATTCATCGATATCTGTGCAAATCGAGTTCCAAAGACAATGATAGTGATCAAAGTGAAGAGAAACTAATTTTCATTTTGACAGATTAATCTTTTTTGGCAGATAAAAGGGAAAATTAAGTATTAAGTCGTATTTCAAATGTAAATGTATGACAATTCAGGAATAAATTACATCATGTGTAAAACTAATTTGACCTTTTATACCTTTTACACCTAAAGAATATTTAATAAAGTAATCCTTATATGCCAGTTGATTGGGCCAAGTTTGGTATAAATAGCTTCACAGCTTCCTAAGATGTTGCAGTATCAATATACCTGTTTTGTCATTTGCACATATTTATCAATAAAATTATCTCTAATTTATTTAATACTTTTCCTTTCATTTAATGGTTTATTCATTTGCTTGTCATTTTTATTTATTTCTTATCATTATTAAAACTAAACTTATATATATATATATATATATTTTTTTTTTCTTCAGGGGAGGTACTTACTGGTCTCGCACAAAGTACCGGTAAAACCGGTATTAGCACAATCACACTGGTTAGTACTCCCGCATGCTCCGCCATTCTGACAAACAGCTCCACCACACTCGGCTAAACAGAAAATAAAGTTGTAGAAGATTTGGATTAATGCATTAATAATACTCTGATACATTCATTGACTGGGGGTTGGTGCCAAAAAGCAGAGAGAGAGAAGCTTTATATCTTACTGCTACAAGTTAAACGTTGACAGAACTTTTTAAATGACGAGTAATGCACACTATGTAAACATAAAACTGTACAAATTAGCTGCTTATGTATAAAATATTAATTGTCTAATCTAGCCCCCTGGATGCTTGTTCAAATATGACGCTAAAAAACTGTAGCATATTTAGTATTATTCGTCACATTTCTGTATCTTATAACACAGTGCTTCAGGGAATATGCGCAGGACCTCTGTGACGACGTTGCTATTTCTTTTTACATTTGGGCGGTGGTTTACTTCATTTCGGAACAAGCCTTTACTCTTTTATGTTAACTGGGATGGGTGTTGAGTTCAATATTCAGTAAAACACCAAAAGGGTACTTGAGGAGATGGATTCCGTGAAGTATTCTGATATATAGCAGACATTAAGATACAGCCGGGGTATAGCGTTCCATTACCATGAACTGTACACAGAAAAATGCATACGGAACTACACAAGTATGTGGCATAAAAGTGTGATCCACAACTTTTATTTATTTATTGGCATAATTTGAATATGAGGGCATTTGGAATTGGAAAGCCATCCTTTCAGGGGAATTATTTTTGATGATATTCTTCCACAACAACATGAAATGAAAGACAAAGCTCATATACGTTCTCTTCATATGTTTTCAAAGGTGGAAGTTTTGGGTACATGTACATACCGTCACATGTACTGCCATCCACACTTAATCTAAAGCCGCTGTCACAGATGCACATGTAAGATCCATCGGTATTATGGCATTCTCCATCCCCACAGGGATTAGCAACCGCAGCACACTCATCGACGTCTAGAAAAGAAACAAAAAGACATTTAAAAAAAATGCTAAATGCAACTGCATCTTCTCTATGCCTCCGCCCTAAATTCAGTTTTGGAAATGGATGGATTTATTCACGACATATCACACTGAAAAGAAAAAGCCTATCTATTGTGGTTCTTGAGATATCAAAATAGCAAGGCTAAATAAAACCTATAAATTCATGAATTGAACTCCGTGAACTTTGATGTAGTTACTCCAAAATGTATTCATATCGTTTTCTATGGTGATATTTACTATCTTCAAGTTTGAAGTTCATATCTGAAGTGGGGCTTGATATATCGCTTTATTGAGAAAGCAGGGCAGACGTAGAGACGGGCAGACCTTAATCCTTCTATTACAGGCAGTTTTGATAAAAGTAAGAACTGATGCCCTTGTTTATGCTACTGGTGAAAATTTTGCAATTACATGCATAACTGTAAATGATCTATGGTATATGTAAGAACTGATAACCTAGTTTATGTTTCTGGTGAAAATCTTACCATCACAGGCAGTACCACTCTCGTTGGCCTCAAACCCACTGTCACAGGTACATTCATAAGTCCCGTCAACATTGTTACAGGTTCCATTCCCACATGGGTTTGGAATTTTTGCACATTCATCGATGTCTAAATATGGAAAAGAAAACAGAAAAGAGGTAATCTATTGATCATTTCTATTAAAGGCTACACTTATCATACCCTACCACACATTGTTAATAGAGATCGTTGTGGGAATCACAATCTCATACCTGCTCTTTAAATGACCTTTATAATGTTTCTTTCTTTTTATTATTTTATTTGCTCTTCATCTTTAATTTCCTGATTAGAAAGGAGCAATTGCTCTACATAATAAGTGCATGTATGTAGGTATGTAATATGATTCAACCTTATAGCTTACCTGTTCCACACAAAGTCCCAGTATAGCCATCAGCACAAGAACAAGTAAAAGAGTTAACTTCATCAGCGCAACTTCCTCCATTCATACAAGGATTGCTTTCACATTCATCGATATCTGTGCAAATTGAGTTCCAAAGACAATGATAGTGATCAAAGTGAAGAGAAATAATTTTCGTTTTGACAGATTAATCTTTTTGGGCAGATAAAAGGGAAAATTAAGTATTAAGTCGTATTTCAAATGTAAATGTATGACAATTCAGGAATAAATTACATCATTTGTAAAACTAATTTGACCTTTCATACCTTTTACACCTAAAGAATATTTAATAAAGTAATCCTTATATGCCAGTTGATTGGGCCAAGTTTGGTATAAATAGCTTCACAGCTTCGTAAGATGTTGCAGTATCAATATACCTGTTTTGTCAATTGCACATATTTACTAATAAAATTATCTCTCATTTATTTAATACTTTTCCTTTTTATTCATTGATTTATCATTTACTTGTCATTTTAATGTATTTCTTATAATTATTAAAACTAAACTTATATTTATATATTTTTTTCAGGGGAGGGGTACTTACTAGTCTCGCACATAGTACCGGTAAAACCAGTATTAGCACAATCACACTGGTTAGTACTCCCGCATGCTCCGCCATTCTGACAAACAGCTCCACCACACTCGGCTAAACAGAAAATAAAGTTGTAGAATGTTTGGATTAATGCATTAATAATACTCTGATACATTCATTGACTGGGGGTTGGTGCCAAAAAGCAGAGAGAGAGAGAGAAGCTTTATATCTTACTGATACAATTTAAACGTTGAAGAAACTTTTTAAATGATGAGTAATGTCCTCTATATAAACATAAAACTGTACAATTTCGCTGCCTACGTCTAAAATATTAATTGCCAGAATATTGGTAATGTCCAATCTAGTAGCATTCTTGTGTATTATCCGTCACATTTCTGTATCTTATAACACAGTGCTTCAGGGAATATGGGCAAGGCCTCAGTTATGACGTTGCCATTCCTTTATACATTTGGGCGGTGGTTTACTTCATATCGGAACAAGCCTTTACTCTTTTATGTGAACTGAGATGGGTGTTGGGTTCAATATCCAGTAAAACACCCAAAGGGTACTTGAGGAGATGGATTCTTTGAAGTATTCTGATAAAGCAGACATTTAGATACAGCCGGGGTATAAGGCTCCATTACCATGAACTGTACACAGAAAAATACATATGGAAATACACAAGTATGTGGCATGAAAGTGTGGTCCACAACCTTTATTTATTTCTTGGCATAATTTGAATATGGCATTTGGAATTGGAAAGCCATCCTTTCAGGGGAATTATTTTTGGTGATATTCTTCCACAACAACATAACAAGAATGAGAAAGTTCATTAGTTATTAAACGTATACGTTCTCTTCATAGTCGGTGGGGTGACAAAACCTTGTATCTCAATTTTTTGAGATTTTGATTTTTTTTTTCATAATTGTGTACCTAATGGCCTACGACACCACCTGATAAATCCATGGAACGCCTCCTGTCTCGGTTTTTTCACAAATTCCACACAAAGGACGGTGTCACAGCACTAAGTCTGTTGAGACAGGAAATAATTTTCCGCTCTCCTGAAAATTCATGATTTTTAGAGATACAAGGTTTTGTCACCCCACCGACGTTATATGTTATCAATTGTAGAAATTTTGGGTACATGTACATACCGTCACATGTACTGCCATCCACACTTAATCTAAAGCCGCTGTCACAGATGCACATGTAAGATCCATCGGTATTAGTGCATTCTCCATCACCACAGGGATTAGCATTACCAGCACACTCAATGATGTCTAGAAAAGAATCAAAAATACATTAAAAAAGAGCATAAATGCCACTGCGTCTCATATATGCATCCGCTCTAAAGGTATAGGAAATGGCTGGATTTATCCATGAAATATCACACTAAAAACAAAAAGCCCATCTTCTATGGTTCTTGAGATATCGCAATAGTAAGGCTAAAACCTGTAAATTCACGAACTGACTTCTATGACCTTTGAACCAATAATCTGATCAGATCATCTTCATATGGTGATACACACGATCACCAAGTTTAAGCCTCGTATCTCCTGTGGTCCTTTTTTTTGTTTATTTGCAAAAAGGCTATATCTAAAATGTTGAAATTGAACTTTGTAACCTTTGACCTATAAACTGGAAATTCAATTAGATTGTCTTTATAGGGTAATACATAATATCACCAATTTTGTGCCTCAAATCTTTAGTGATTCTAGATCGCGATATCGCTATAACGAGGCAAATACCAGGAATTTCATTAATGACCTTGGACCTAGTTACTCTATAATCTATTCAGACCGTCTTCCAGTAGTGATACAAACTATCTTCAAGATTGAAGTTCATTTCTGAAGTGGTTCTTGAGATATCATTTTAACTAGACAGACATACAGACATTAACCTTGTGATAAAGGTAAGAACTGGGACCTGTTTCACAAAGCCTTTTTTCAATGACAAATGACAATAATCAGTGACAAATCTGCTGATAACCAATCATAAGCAAGGATTTCAGCAGCTTATAACAAAAATTGTTATTTGTCACTGATGACAAGTTTTGTGAAACTCCCCCCCACATGCCCATCTGTTTGCCAGTGGTAACAATCTTACCATTACAGGCAGTACCGCTCTCGTTGGCCTCAAATCCAGGGTGACAGGTACACCCATAAGTCCCGTCAATATTGTTACAGGTTCCATTCCCACATGGGTTTGGAATGTTTGCACATTCATCGATATCTAAATATGGGAAAGAAAACATAAGAATAGAAGTAATCCATTGATCATTTCATTTCATTTTATCATAGTTATGTTGGTCTCAATAGAAAAGAAAAGTTCCATGAATACATACCGGTATATGTTGTAATTATACAATTTAAAGTTAAATTTAGTGAAAACAGTATTTTTTAGAAAAACATGTGGAAAATGACACATCGTTCAAAGTTGGCCTAACATGCAATCACACAAATTTGTGTAAGCTTGCAAAAAATGTCAGGTTTTTGCAAATTTGATTTAAAAATGTATGCAACACCTTTAAAAAAAAGTGATAAGAAGGCTGAACACAGTCTTCAACAGTTGCATGGTAATCAATGAATTTCTAAGGGGGGGGGGGTAGTATCGACAACTAGATAGTATAAATTGTATCCTGCATCAAAAATTTGTTGGCTTTTGATTGGTTGAGAGCTCGTCACATGACCATAAATATTTAACCTATTTTTAGAAAGTACTATTATAAGAGTACTATTTCGGTTTACTATTTGGGAGTTGAACAAAAATGTGATTTTTTTTTTTTTTAATTGAATCAATTTTTTAATTTTAATTTTTAATTATTTTTAATTTAATGAAAACAAAATATTTTAAATCTTTTTAGATAAAAATTGACATTTTAATTTTTTTTTTTTTTTTTAATAATAAATTTTTGATGCAGGATATAAAACAAATATACCATGCCTTCTATTCGAGGTAATGTTTAAACTATGGGCCTCGGTGACTCCAAAAGTACCCTCAGCAAATACTATTGTACTATTGGAGTCACCTCTTGCGCATAGTTTTAACCAGAACCTCTCAAGGCAGTGCATATTTGTATACTATATTGTCACTTGGAATATCATATGCATTGTTTTTAAAATATACAGTACATGTACTGGGGTATACAAAATATTATAATGAATAGGTGAAATGGAAAGAGGAAAGGAAAGGAAGGAGTGATCAAGATTGAGAAAGTTGTAAGCAGATCACAGAAATGTAAGCATGTAGTTCTGGGAAGAATTTGTTGTATTCTTCTGTAGAGACGTTCTGAATGAGAGTATCAAACCACAGTATTCTTTCATGAAAAAGAGTTTGGCTGTCTAATTGAAAATCATATAAAGAAATATCAGCATACCATTACAAGCCTTTCCGTTGATATTCTTCTCATATCCATCGTTACAGTCACAACTAAACGTCCCCATGATATTGTTGCATGTTCCATCGACGCACAGGGAGGGATCCTCACACTCGATAATATCTAATCAGGGGCAATTTTGAGAAGAACATGTTAGCCTTTTTTATGATCATAACCGATGGAATATAAATCCAGTTACGTTTTAGTCTGGTACTTTGTATTCTTAATGTGATTAAGATCAAAGTTGAATAATTAATTCAAGTACATTAATATTAATGAAATGATTCAAGTAGAATGATTAAATTAATTCAAATTAAATAATTAATAATAGTAATTCAGGTAAAGATGTAGTACGTGAACATAGATCGACTTGGAAAAGGTCCTGTTCACAAGCAGAACATAGATTCAACAGTTGAACTCTTCGATTGATATTCTTACTTTCTAAATTTCATAAGAGCCGTTTAGTGGCAGCTTGGCTAAAGTTAAGTAGACAATAATTCAGCCTTTTGTATCCGTTTCCTTAAAAAAATTCTTTAACCCTACGTTAACTGGGGGGGGGGGGGGTCAATTTGACCCCCCCCCCCCCCCTGTAGAAATTTCATTTTTCCTAAAAAGAGATAAAACATTGGTTCTTTAAACTTGTTTAAAGTTTGGGTGTTTGTTTTGGGGTCAAAATAGTTGAATTGTAGTTATAAATGAAATAAAACAACAAAAACAACAAAAAACAATAAAAGTAAAAAAAAAATGAAATACACAAGAAATGATCAAAATGAGAGATAACATAACGAATAACCTGGCTCTTCCAATTTTTTGTGTTGTATTATTATTCCAAACGGTCTAACAAATATATGTAGTGAAAAAGAATGCTTAAATATCAATAAAGTATGATTTATGGGCAAAAATGTGAAGTTTATGACCTTACAGCTGTACTTGCATAAATTACCATAAATATGCAAATGAGTGAATTTTTCAAAAAATTGAAATTACCATAGTATTCTATACACTTCACTTGACATTATGCAAATTTTCGCGGCGATTGGCAGTGAAACGGCCGAGATCTTAGAGGAGGGGGGGGGGGGGGGGGGGGGGGTCAAATTGACCCCCCCCCCCAGTAAAAACCTGGTCTGAAATAGCCCAGTTAAAATGGGGTTAAACAAGGTGCCCCAAAAGAATGCTATGCTGACATCTGTAACTTCAATCAGATTTGTAGACGAAATGACATTGATATTTTATTTCTTTTATTGGGAAGGAAATTTTCTCCAAGATCATCAGTCTTTATTACTATGAAGGAATTTTGATTTTGGGGCTATTTTTTAGAGGCAATATAATTTTCTAAAATTTGCTACTTTTGCAACAACTTCGCTAGACGGACAATGTTGTGTATTGAATGCCCCCATTTCATTAATGGTGCCTTCATTTATAAAGCAAGAGCAGTCTTGCTTTTGTTGACACAGCTGATCTTAGGGCAAGCCATCATATGCCAATTTCTAGCTCCTTCTTTTTGCAAAACTAACCAATTTTAAAAATGAAATTGCATCCTTAAAAAGCCCTAGGATAAAAATACCTTACTCAAACATATGACGTCTTTCGGATGGTGACGTTTAAAGGTTGGTAAATAATAAATATAAATAATCATATATGATACACGTATGTAAAAACTCAATACACACACACACACATTATAATCTTGTATTGATTTTACATGGATGAAAAAGTTGTCTGATATGCAATAAACAAAACGACATTTTCTCAATGATGTCGTTGAAGTCATAGATCTCAACTTTTGCGTTCTTTTAGGAACCTCTTTATGTATTTTCATAATTCCAATAAAAATACAATTCAAACAGATTATGTGCACAGAGAAATACATTGACATTTACAAATTTATTAGGAAGTTACAAGTATAACAGAAAAAAGGAGAAGGAAAGATAATCCAACAGAATATACAAAAAACAGAATTGAGAGGTTTGCATGGTGGCAAGACAACCTTGAGGGTATTCTCTAGGCAACAATTCTGCGGGCTGTTACAAAAAGGTTGCATTGATGGTATAAACCAATGATAAGAGTTAAGAAATAAATTGATACAAATATTGATGGGGTTTCTTTAAAAAAAATGATTTTAAGATTTACTTACCATCACAAGTAGTCCCTGTTGAATCTACTGCAAATCCAGGAATGCATGAACACATGTATGATCCCTCGTTATTTTGGCAAATTCCATTAGCACAGAGATTCCCAGCATCACACTCATTAATGTCTATACAGGAGACAACGGTATCGGTTAGAAGATAAAGTCTTTCAAAATGTTGATACACTTTATCAACTTTGTACACTAAAAAATAATTTACATATAAGGAATGTGTCTTTACATGAAATACATGTAGGACTACATTGGAATGTACGTCTTGGTTTTTACAGCAAGATGAAATATTCACTTTTTTAAAGAGGTAATATTCATTTTTTTAAAGAGAAAATGGAGCAGATTTGAATTCAGGATGGTAATTGGTTGGGGAGCAGGGGGGATTGTGTAAAGATGGATTGATTATAGGGGAATTCCACCTTTATGGCAAGAAAGCAACTCTACAAGAAAGAAGCAAAATTCAGAAAAGCATACCACTACAATTGACACCAGTGACATCTAGTTGGAACCCTACGTCACAGTTGCAAGTATAAGAACCATCGGTGTTAACGCATATTCCATTAGCACAGAGGGTGGAATCTTTTTCGCATTCATCAATATCTGGCGGAAAAAGGAATCAAGAAATCCATACAGTATAACAACCGAATGATAATTACTCAACAAGGACATTTAACCCCTGGACAGTTACCCCCTGCAACTGCTCCAGCACAATTACCCCCATGACAATTACCCTGCCAGCCTTAGTGGATACCTATCTATGAAGTCCACCTGTCTTAAGTGAGCACTTATAATAGCTCCATCTAGGCAGAAATACAGATTAATGATATCATTACATTTAACAATAGCAATAGCCATTGTTAAATACCTTTTGAACTCTGATTTGCTTAGACATACAACTTTCGTTTTTTCATGCATATCAGTAGATGTTTGGTTTTAAACAAACCGCTATAATAATCGTTTGCTACATACATTTTTATTCAATTTAATCTCAGATTACATTACACTGTAAACACATTTTGATCCGTTGTTTCATTAATACATTAGCGTTCAATTGTTACTGCAATTTTATGCCCTTGCCAAATATTTAATTTGGGCTTCTTTCTCCAATATAATGTGCAATATCTTATACAAAATTACCCAATATTGTTATTCAAATACTCAGTCTAATTTTATGAGCAACTTTCTTGATTTAGATGAACGCTGTGTTTACATTTATAAGTGAAAAACAGAATTATTACGGTTTAATTTTATCTCTTCCAATACATATTTTTATGCTTAATTTCAATTTGTGTAATAGAAATGTTTAGATCAATTGTTAAATACTTTCTGAACTCTTTCGCTCAAACGACTTTCCATTTTTTCTTCTCCATTCTCTCCTTTTCACAGTCTTGGTCTTTCAACATAAAAGTGTATTACTAGTTTACTAAATCAAACAAATTATTTCGTTTTGCGATTTCGATTTTATCTGATCAATGCTATATAATTTCTGCAAAAGTTAACTTATAATATGTATTTTTGTTTTTTATATTCTAAATTTGTTTGTAACTTGAAAATTTTCAGACTGCGAGCTGCTTGTTTGATGTGCTTTTACATTAACCAAACCAACATAATAATGGTATGTGTTAAAGAACTGGTCTAGAAAGGCCAAGTGTCTACAGTTGCCAATTTTCCTGTTTCCCTTTGGTAGCCTTGATAAACAGGTCTTAATGAATATTAATACCAAAGGGATATGTTTATGCATGTTTTTCTTTGTTACAAAATTCCCTTGTACATACCAATACAAGCAGTTCTTGCTCCGTTTTCAATATATCCGTCATTGCAAGTACAGAAGAAAGACCCAATGGTATTAGTGCACATTCCGTTAGTACACGGGACTGGATCATCAGCACATTCATCAACATCTGCAGCAAGAAAAAACAACAATATAAAACATATTATCATGTTCAGGTTTAATCCTTTGCAGTTTACAGTATTCCAACATTATTCCTTTTCCCTCCACACATTATTGGGCCGTAAATTATGAATAATTCCCATGTAAATTAAGTAACAATAAAAAGGTATGTTGCTTTCATGGAAACTTCAATTTGAGTACAATAAATATATCTGACAAGCCCCTGACCAGACTGCCCAATTGTGATTTGCAAGGATGTAATGATCTCATATTTCAAACACTTGTAACTTTCTTATTGTTTCAATTTACATCATACTTTCACCATTGTGTTTCTCTTATTTTTCAGCTTCATGTAACAAAACTCATTGCAAAAGTTGGACTGCCCTTTGAAGAGATATGGTCTGCAGTATGTCATAAATGCTACATCTGACATGGACTTGGTGGAAGTAGCATTAATTTGGGCAGAAGTAACGCACACAGCGGATTCAATGTGCCAAAAAGAAATTTCCCATCCCTCTCTTATATTAGGGGAAATACCCAAATGGTGTCAATTCCCAAGGGAAACTCATGCTCATGTATTGTTATGCCTTCCTTACCCTCTTGATTGACTATACTTTCGGCTCCTGAAACTCCAAAGCGCTGGTTACTTGGTAGAGCATTGTTGAACAACGATTCCAATACTGTGTCGTTGATATTTAGTGTTGTTGCAACATCTGTCCTAAAGTCTATGACAGCATAGGGACTGGTCACATTCACATCTGATATTGTAGCCATATATACAGATTCCCCAAGTTCTGAAATGCCTTGGAGAAACATCAGCATCTAAAGATAAAATGACACACATTGCATGTTCTTCAAAAGTCAAAAACAAAATTTTCCAGGGAGGGGGAATGGGGAGACCTTTACTTTCTTGTGAAAAATGATTGATTCAGACGTATTTTCACCAAGATAAACACGTAAGCCCATATATTCTCTTCTGTAATATGAAACCATTATTATCATTATGATTTTAACTAGATCAATCAGTACTGTTTTTTAGGAGGGTGAATTTGGGGGGAAATCATAGTTAATCTTCAAAAAGCTTTCAGTCTCATTTTTTTGTTCAGCCTACTGTTAAAAGGGACTTTACTTCTGTGACCTGAGCAGGGAGACAATTCTAGAAGGTATGGCAATTAAATCTAAGTGAACGTGTAACAAAACATCTCTTTCTTTCCAGAGGTGGTGTTTAATTTTTATTCTTGTCGCCTGTGAATTCACACAAGGCACAATATATACAGGTGTATCTAAGGTGTAATAACAATCCCCCAAAACTATTTTCCATCTCACTATATTATTCAAAGTATGAGCTTCAAATATTGGTTCTTAGAATATTTTTTTTCTAGTTTATAATCACTCTCAATAAACATAAAAGTAACTGGTGATGCAAGTTATGATACATTAGAGCCCGCATGCAGTTTGATCTATTCTCTATTTCCAGTTTCAGTTTATTGTTTCATATTTTGCATACATCACATATATATCACATTTTGTAATGATTTCACACACAGAAATGGATAAAAAAAAAGAGTATATTCTAAGACAGAGACTAAATCAGAAACATGAATGCTAGAGTCGCTTTTATTCAAGTAATGTAACAAATTAAAATATTTTAAACAAATGTAAAAGTAAATATGGAATTGACTTACGTCACGTTCAAGTTGCTCTTGATTTGTAACAGATTCGATAATAGATGGATTGGCAGCAATCAAGGCACCGAGAATGGCTTCAAATCTTACCCTCAGTTGCAAGGTTAAGGACGCTAAAATATGATTAAAAATAAAACGTTTGATTTTCATTATTTCTTGTAATTACTTAAAGGGGAAGTCAACAAGTATATATAAAACTTGGTTTAACCCTATATAGCCAGGGCTATTTTGAAACTGCATAGCCCGGGAGGCGTGGGTTGCCCCTTCCCATAAAGAGTGATAACTTTCATGCATGTCAAGTGAAGTGTAAAGAATACTATCATATGGTAATTTCAATTGTTTTATAAATTTACTCATTTGCATATTTATGGTAATTTATAAATTTATGCTTATTAAACGAATGGAGTTGGCGTAGCAGTGGATATTCCAAATGACTATTACGGGAGATTTGCTACATTTGGGGTTTTCCTTTTCAGGACGGCATATTATATGCAAAGGTCGAGGGTTCGAATCCCGACACGCCACTAATATCCTTTGTCAAGATATCAACCTACACTTGCTACTCTCCATCCAGGTGTTGAAATGGGCAACTGGTAGGATGCGACCATCGTTGTTGGTCAAACATATTTTGAGCGTCAAGTCACGCCTGGCTGGAATGCTCCCCAGGGAGTGAAGATTGTGCAGGCAAGCACTGAACCCAATGACCGGGGTAATAGTATATCTGTAAAGCACTTAGAGACGTCCAAGATGTATAAAGCGCTATATAAATGCTGAATATTATTATAATTACCTTCACAGTTTCCTTCAATTTCAGTGAAGCCCTCAGTGCAGATACACCTGTAGTCTCCCACAGTGTTGATGCATTTGTGACTGTTGCTACAGACAGGAATAATTTCTTTACACTCGTCTTTGTCTAGATGGGGAAGCAGGTAATACAAATAATGGATCAAGCTCGATATCCATAAGGACCGCTATTCATAAGGACCATTATTCATAAGGACCACCAACCATAACGCGTGACAATATATAAAAAACGAGGAAACCATAGGCAACTTAATACCTCGCTATTCATAAGGACCGCCATTCATAATAGTAATAAAAATAATTATATTTGTGGTTTGCATATAGCTTAATACCCCGACGATGATTCTAAGCCCTGTACAGATACTCAAACATATATTTGCAGTATATGTATAGCTATACAATTCTTCAATTCTTACACTCCAAGACCGGACATTGAAATAATTGCTGGTATCAAGATTTTACAAAAAGACAGACAATGCTTTACCTGTTGCCTCTGAAGAGAGTTTAAATAACTGTTCCTGTATGCAATGGGATAATTTCAAACACCTATAATTATCTTGTTATGTGTACAGAAGTTGTAGGGAATTAATTTACCTTGTCTAATGTTAACAACAGTTCCTAATAAAGGTATATTCAATTTCAAAATAGACAATTATTGTAAAGTATAACTTTGTTTTTTGGGGTAGTCCTTCACGTTTCTGTTCCTCACTCATTTAGCACTGTTTGATGGTAATATGAGAAAAGATCCTAAACAAATTTGGTATTTTCTCAAACAATGTATATACATGTACATCGAGTGGTAGGCCTATATGACAACTCTTTGATATTTAGAATGCATGATTCATATTCTAGCACCGGCAGTGATATAGATTGGCGACCATAATTATACTGGACATGTACAAGAAAAGATCCTAAACAAATTTTGTATTTTCTCAAACAATGTATGTACATGTACATCTAGTGGTATATAATAACTCTTTGATATTTAGAATGCATGATTCATATTCTAGCACCGGCAGTGATATAGATTGGCGACCATAATTATACTGGACATGTACATGCAGTATGCTTGACTGAAAATGCTTTTAAATAACTGCCAAATTCTAGTAATCAATTTGTTCACATACTTATAACATCACAAAACTTTATACTTTACTTTGTAAGGGATGAATAATTTAGTTGTTAACTGTACATGAACATGCAGTCTCTTTGTCACATGTACATGTATTTGCAGGCGGTACAGCAAGAACTAAGGGACCTTCTCGTTTAAACTGTACATCATCATTGACCAAGGTCAGCATTTTCCCTCTTACAAGGGGTTACTGGCTTTCGCGCCATCATGACGCTCTCTCCCTCCACTTATTCTAATTTTCCCGAGCATCCTCCTTACTTACAATGATAATACAAAAACATAGTAATTCCATATCATTTACCAATGCAGGTCTTGGGTGAATCATTCTGGTACCCAGAAGTACATGTACACACAAAATCACCTCCTGTGTTCTCGCACGAAGAGATGTCTGGAGGACAGGTGTTTTGGACATTGTCACATTCATTAAAATCTGTCGGGAATAATGATATAAATAACAATATTAATAATGATAATAATAACAAATTGATTTATACAGGAAATAATACAGAGCCTCTGTAGTCTTCCCCTTATTCAAACTACTAATATTTTCTCTGTCAGAATGATCCATTTATTTTGTGGTTTTCCTATATTCTATTGTATTCCCAAGAATGATGGGTAGTTTTACTACTAGAGATTCTAAAAAGGCCCGGCTATTTGAGGTCTTAAGATGGCCGGGGGGGGGGGGGGGGGGGGGGGCATTACGCCCCCCCCCCCCAAGATTTCGGCCGATCGCCGAAAAAATGTGCACGAATGTCAAGTGAAGTGAATAGAATAGTAAAATTAATTTTTGAAAAATTTACTCATTTGCATATTTATGGTAATTTATACAAATAAGGTCATAAAATTCACCTTTTTACCCATGAATCATATATTCTTTATATTTAAGCATTTTTATGTTACTACATGTATTTGTAAGACCATTTGAAACAATATTATGACGATAAATTTGGAAGAGCTAGGTTATTCCTTATGTTATCTCTTGTTTTGATAATTTCTTATGTATTTCATTGTTTTTTCAACTTTTGTAATTCATTGTTTTTTATTTCTAACTACAATTTAACTACTTTGACTCCCAAAACAAACACCTAAATTTAAACAAGACCCAATAACCAATGTTTTATCTCTTTTTTAGGAAATATGACATTTCCATATATTTTGTACACAAATCACAAAAATGAGCAATTGTTGGGTTGACATGCAAAGACAAAAGGTCATGTGACTTTGTAACTGTACGCCTGATTTAAAAAAAAAATTGTTTAAAGATGCGAAAACGATATCCGTAGGTAGGAAAGTTGTCAAAAAGTAGAACAAATTGTGAAAAACAGAGTTAATTCATATGATGTATTCATATGAATTCCATACTTAATATAAGATTCATATATTATTTTTGTTATTTACCATCCCTGTAAAAAGATACCATACCTGTACAATTGCTATCCATATTCTCCCTCACATAACCTTCGGAGCACATGCATTCATAAGAGCCCTCCAGATTAGTGCAGTTACTGTTTGGTCCACAGAATTGAAGGACATCACTGCATTCATCTTGATCTACATATCCATAGACATACATTGGATGGGAAATGAAAGGATACAATATCAATTACAGATTATTGGTGGATGTACATTGGATGTAAACTGCAAAGCTTGTTACTCTTAATAAGTTTTGAAAAGATTATTTATCAAAATGTATTTGTATACAACTACATGTTCGTAATCATGGTATTCAAGTCATTGAGCTATTATCATAATCATCATTGTAATTATTATTGTTTTTATCAACATTATAGTTACGATTACCATGATTATCATAAATAATATTACTATTGTTATTATTATGATTATTATTATTGCAATTAATATAATTATAATTATCATTAGTATTATCAGCATCATTGATATTAATATTACTATTGTCATTATTATAACTACCATTATCCTTATTTTTCTTTGTTTCCCCTTCTTCTTATCATTATTGTCATTATCTTCATGATCTATACCTGAGCAGGATATCCCATCTCCCTCGTAACCATTGTTGCATTTGCACGAATAGTTTCCAAGAGTATTCACACAAGACGCTAGTTGATGGCATGTGAACAAGGATGGATTCTGACACTCAATGATATCGGTACATGCCGCGTAGGGATCACCTTGGAAACCAGGCATACAGGAACATGTGAATGCACCTTCATTGTCTGAACAGTCAGCATACACACCACACGGCGGGTCTACTTCACACTCGTCGATATCTACATTAAATGACAATATGAACAGCATACAGTGAGACCTGTCTACAAAGAATACTCAAGAAAAGCAGCCTTTACATGTATAACTACTCTTTTTTGTTTATGTTTCATTGAGAAACTTTATTGAAGAGAACCATAAAATGAGGTCGATTATAAAAATAATTTGTAATTTAATTGTATCTCGTGCATAACAATTACAATTCAATTCTCTAGGTGTTTTACATTATATTGGATAACATAAACATAATGCAGAAAGATATAATAACTGCAAGCGAAGATAGGTCTAAAGGGATTTCCTAAAGTTTTGAAAGAAAATACTTTTTTCCTAATTGTTATGAGTAGAGACTTCAACAGAGCAGGAGCTGATGTCACGATGGATTGGTTTTCTGTATATGTCCTTTCTATTCAGGTGGTCACTATGAAAAGCAGGTTTCACTGAAATTAAGCCTATGATGATGTAATACACACGCATACACATACATATACATGCTCTGTTCATCTAGAGCTGTTTGCTAATTTTATGCTGACAACTCAGATGCTTGCCATAGGCTTTCAAGACATGGCAACAAATACTGAATGCAAATTTGATTCCATCAAAAGTATAGCCATACATAGGCTCTGACTTAAATAACTATTAACCAGGGGTTCTGCACAAATATATATTCATTATCAAACCGGTCTATTACTGACAGACAAGAATTATTGACAGCAATAAAGAGGAGATTAAAAAGAGTATAAACACTATATGATTAATTGATAATCATTGTTACTTTAATATTTATTTCATAGACTTTTTTACATGATTTGAATACATAAAATAATTCAATAAGTAAATGAAATGAAAATTTCATCAATGTAATACATTCATATTTCATCCTAAGCACATATCCATTGAAAATTCAGATTAAAAATGTCAATTGAATTGACATGGTTTATCAAATGTAACAATTGTTACAACTAAAAGCTACATTGAGACGTTAAATATTAAATGATAAAAAACAGAATACATTCAAGATATTATACAAGAGTAAAAATAAAATAATAACCATAATCTTGTATTGATATAGACATCTTTGTCTTAATATATGCGACTACAAAGAGATTGAGAGCAGTTATAGGAGAGTAAACAGTTCTTTTGTGTTTAGTCCTATTGAGGACTACTTGAAATTGTTGAGATGGAAGTAAAAGGAGAGAAGTTGTGAGGTAAAAGGAGAGAGAGGTATTCTTTTGTGAGTAAATGCCTGAAAAAGGCTGGTGAACCTAGGAATGAATCCGGAGAGGGGGAAAGAGAGAGATATTTGTTCTTAAATATTGTATCTACTTACTTGAGCAACTTAGACCATTCCCAGTATAACCTTCAAGACAGGTACATGAGAAGGACCCATCTGTGTTGTTGCATGCAGCATTCTCATCACAAGGAGATTGATCACACTCATTATTATCTTTTAAAGAAAGTGAAAATTTGGATGGATTAATTCTTATAGCATGTACACACTACAGGAAAAATAAACGAAAATTTCATTAAGAAATGTTGTATAAACTATCAAGTATTATTATACAGCGAAAGGAGCAGCATACTACATGTAGACAACATCATCGTATACGGAAGTTAATTTCAACAAAGTCAGTTTATATGACAGGTTTCCAATCACTAGAGCATTTCCGCGCACATTCTGTGGAATCTTTTTTTTTTCCCTCTCATATATTACTCATTTCTCGCATAATGTCTTTACATTTGTATGTATTTGCATTTAATATGTTAAAATGTGTACTTTTTTCAAAGGAATTAGAAAATAAAAAAATCTGAAATGTCGTACCTACACAGCTGAAGCCATTACCAGAGAAACCTGGCATACACATACAATTGAAAGAGCCATTTGTATCCATGCAATTCGCGAAGATGTGGCATGGGGACGTAGAAAGGCACTCATCGGTATCTATATGAGGAGTACACACAACATAACAAATGAACAAAGAGTGAGATGTGGAAGTGGGTACTCTCAGAGTTTTTCATATCGGAGTGGGTGTTCGTCAGGGATCAGTCTTATCTCCACTGCTGCTCGCTACTGTGGTCGATTTTTTTTATTGGAACCAGGAAATAAAGATGTGCTATGGAAATGTCGTTTGCAGATGATTAAGTTTTGATGGCTGAATCAATGCAGCAGCAGGTTAGGGATTTCACTGGAAGTTCATTTGGACGGACGGACAGACAACCCAAATCTCCTACAAAGTTCAATATTTGTGCTGTATTGGGCTCTTTAACTTACCTCAAAGTCGGGTCTACTCCACATTCTTGTAAAATAATGTTATACAATCACTTAATAAAATAAATTATGATAGTATTGGGGTAATTGTGTGCTTTATTTTATTTAAAGTCTGGTTGTGGGCCAAAAATAAAAAATAAAAAAAATTATGCCTAAAAGAATAAAAGAAAATAATTTTGTGTAGTTTGTTTCCATGTCAGCTGGAGAAGAACTTGAATGGGATAGGAGAGAAAAAATACATTAATATTATTTCTATTTCTAAATCAATTTCTTTTCTTCATTTTTTTCAATGATATTTATGCTAAACTTTTGTCCGATATTTAAAATCTTTCTCATGCCTGCATCTACCAATAATTTGTTTTTCTCCTGGACTAATATGTCTCTTTCCTTTCAAAAGTTTGACCAATAAAGTGAGGTTGAAATTAAGTGCCTTACTTGTACACATTGCTCCATTTCCCGTGTAGCCATCATTGCATGAACAGGAGAAGGACCCTTCTGTATTGGAACATGCAGCATTGGTATCACAATCTTGAGTACCATCAAGACATTCATCCCGATCTAAAATAATATAAAGAAAAACAAAATCGATCAACGCTTCTAATCATCCGAGTACTAAGTCATATAAACATGATGGAATGAATTCAAGTGAAATATTGCAGATCATTCCTGTCTGGCACATTGCCACTCCAGGCACTCCGTTATTACTACTCCGGCTTTAGAACAACTGCCATCACTGTGCTTGAATAATATGCACTCTTCTGAAAAAATCAAGGGTGTTTTGATTTAAGCTGTGGTGCGAAACCATTGTCAAAACCTCCATAACAAACTTATCTTAACCCTATTTAGCCCGGGCTATTTTAACAGTTGGGTTGCTTTCTTTGTCTCTATGAACAGTCATTCATTTGCCACACATGCAACTTTGCACAAACGAATAGGGACCAATTGATATATGGATTGCTACATGTGTGTCCAAAACAATCCAGGCTTTGCACAATTTCCCATTTCCAGGGTCGAATAGCTCCATAAACAACACTTAAATAATCTTGCACTGAAAACAGTTAAATAATCTTAAACTCTTTTGTTTATCTACCCCATGCTAAATACTATGTGGCACAAGGAGAATATTTGTGTGGCATATAAAGCGATAATAACAGATATTGAACCTGAAGATGAGTACTATATACTAATATAAACAAATATGTGTTTAGCCGTAATTATACAAATAATTCGAGTGCGCATGTGCATAGTAAATAAACACTGTACGCAGGTTAAGGCACAATATGATAATGGATTAGACTTGTGGAGTTCAACTAGTATAACTAAACAGCATAATGCACTTCTCAGTGCGTGAATCAATTTCCTTGCCATTTGGAACTGCATGTATTTTATCATAATTTTAATTTGTATGTGCCAAAAGTGAGAAACCATGTCTCCAATGAACTTTACAATTTTTCGCCCAAATTGAGTTTAGCATAAAAAGTATAGCTCACTATGTTTACAAGTAGAGTGTACTTTAGCTTCACAATGAATCAATATCATAAGGCCAAATATAAGTACCGAGGTGGGGGGGGGGGGGGGGTGTTAATGTTTTATAAATGTGATGTCTATGTAACATTAATAAAAAAAGAAATGCATATTTAACAAAAAAATTGAAGAGATGCAACTTAAACAGAATTGTTCTGGCAGCGCATAGTCATTTGATAAAAAAGAATGATTTCATCTTCCATGTGTATTAGTTTATTTCATAACAACAGTTTTACCTGGATATTGTCACATTTTTGGCCCCAATTTCATGGAATTTACATAAAGGAATAATACAATCAAGGCCTACCTGAACAACTTCTTCCGTTTACATCGAGCAAGAAGCCCGTTACACAGGAACAGTCGTATCCTCCTGGGATGTTATCGCAGTCCATTTCGCAACGATTCTCCCCAAGGCATTCATTGACGTCTGTGGGAAATAAGAGGGATAAATAAACACAGATATTGAATCACATTAAATTTTGCTATTAACCGTAGAACAAAATTAAAACATAAAATTTGAAAATACAATGTACATGTATATTCAAAAGATACCAATCCGGCAGCTGCTCAATAACGAATCCCAAATTTTTGATTTTGTTGATATTTGGATGTAATGGGAACTATCAGATGCCTTTTAATGGAAAATTGTGCCAGAGTTTCAATAAAATGAATCACACTTGACAGCTCTCAAACAAATAATTTGATTAGTGAGTTGCACATATATAAGAAGTGAACAACAAATAATTAGAACAACCGTAACAGAAAGATGATACACAATATTTTTGCAACAAGCTTTTGTCACATGTTATACCATGAACTCCAGTTGAAAATATGTCTTCTCTGAGGTGATGGGCAAAGCAGTTTTTTCTCAGGGGTATGGCCCAAAAGAAAATAGTCACCATGCCATTTAACCAAAATCTTTTACTGTATTGGTGCCTCAAAAAGAGTGCATGGTATTTCGATATATATCCCTCATTAACAAATGAAAAATTAAAAGTGTTAGCTATTTAGAAATGCATCTGAAAATAAATATCCACTTATACCTAATTAGTCAAAACGAGCACATACTAAGCTCACAAAAAAGTGCAGCCCATTTCACAGTGGCTGCAGTGGCAATATCATGACAGGCCTATCGATGGCTTGGAACAGTAATATAAAAGGCTTTACCCCGGTTGACGCCATGCAAACTCCATTTTGGGCTTCAAGGTGGAAGTATTATACGTGAGCCATCTGTAGCCAATCCTTGCACTAGGACTTTTTAGAAGTAGAATATATGTGTATACACAGGCAAGTATCTGCTTACTTGGAGCCCTATATATGTTTTCAAGTATTGTGGAGTTCAGAACATACAATCCATTGTCACTTGCATTACCCATGTCATTTTACTTCACAAATAGTCTTATCTTAGATCTAGTATGGCTAATACCTTACAGCGGGACTGCACTACTTGTAGCTACTTGCGCCCTCTATATAACAAACAATGCCTAAGCGACACGTTGTTCCCCCACGGTCCCCTTTTTCTTAAGTAATTGAGAGCTGATTTGATGACATAACCATCTGTCAGTGATCAAGCAGGGAGGTTTAATCCCTCCTAGCCAAACTAGTGCAGATAGGCTTTAATAAATACTTACATATGGCCGGCAATATATAAGGACAAAATAGGTTGGTATTTTTCATACCTGTGCAGTTGTTTATAGTTGAATTGAATTCATATCCAGTCTGATCGCATACACAGATTTCCCCGTCCGTAGAATTAATGCAGACACCAGAGCCACATTCGAGGTCACAACTTTCAGTAACTGCAATATTCATATTAAAGAATTTCAGATGAAAAATATTACAGTATTGGGTAGCCACAACTGCTATCATTATCAGCCCCGCATTCGTTGCTAGGATACCTCGGTTGAGAGTGTTGACACCTTAAGAAATTGTGTCTGCACAAAAGCCTAATTGATCCCAGTTAAAGGGAAAGCCAACCTTTGTAATATTTGTATTTCTATGAAAACAGAAAACTAAGAAAAAAAAAGGTAAAAGTTTGAAATGAATCGGAATAAGAAAAATATGAATATTTGACATATAAAATCGCTACATCTGTTTCAATATGAAATTGTCAAGTTGGTCAGTGAATATTGACAAAATCTTAATTTATGTCAGGCTCGTCAGTTAACTGCCTTCTACATTGGGGTAGTCACTTAAAAAGATATTGTGGGTAGCATATCATTATATTATTTTTTGCGAATAGAGTTGCATTAATATCACAATTGAATGACACGCACCATTAAAACTAAAACAACAACCGCATCAGATCATATACGTTGGAATATTGAGTCATTTTGGTAGTTTGTAGCGATATTCCAATTGACTATTACAGGAGCTTTGCTACTGCTAGAGTGTAAGGTGGGGATGACCTCCCACTCAATTATTTTGGGTTTTTCTTTTCAGGAAGGCATATTTAAGGGCCCGATTGATCATATACGGTTCTTCAAATCGGCAACAACAACTTGATTTTTCTTTTAATGCTATATTTTCAATGCAATGCAGTGTCTCTGGAAATGATATGCAGTATGTGAGAAGGGAATTTGTCCAAAAGTTGGAAAAATTTCAAATTTTGATAACAAAACGTAACATGTGTTGCTAATTTATGAATTATAATGCATACTTGCCCTCCTAAAATCTGTGATATCGAATGCAAATGATCATGCATACTAAACTACAACGTTTTCGACTCCTATAATACCTTTTTAATTCAGACCTACTATATTGTGTAACTCAGTATGCGAGCCTATTCACTTCATTACAAGCTATGCTCTTTATTAAGGCTTCCTACATTGTACATTGTATTACCTTGCCTGTCATATCTATATATTTTGAAACTTCTATTTTCCGTACATGTATACTTGATTTGAAATCTTTATTTTTTTGTTGCAATCTACCCTAATACACTTGTATGAACAAAAAAAATTTTTTTTTTAAAGTAAATGGGGAACAAATACACTTCAAACTTCAACTAAAATCGGCACATGGTGTGCATAATTTAGTTTCCCTTCTTATCATGCATGTGGTATACTCGTTACAGCTCTGAATCAAGAGCTGTCCAGCACGTCAAACCACAAAATGAAGGAGGGGGATTTCAAAGGGTTAACAAAAGGAAATACATACCCATGCATGTCTTGTTATCATTCATAAGAATAAAGCCTGAAAAACAACTGCAGTTGAACCCAGGACTGTCATTAATGCAGCTCTGCTGACAGTCATGAGTTCCCAATGTACATTCATCGATATCTGTGAAAATAGAATAGCAACAACAAGAACAATAAGAATAACAATGACAGTTAACAAACATAAAGTAATAATAATTTTGTTATGTTAATAATATGTCTTATTTTACCAAGGGTAGCCTCATCAGTATTTACACTGTTCTCCTTATGGGACCTGCAATCATTTAATACACCCCGGCTTTAGCCAAGCTTCCATGATTAAGGCGCACAAGCACTCAATAAATTTCTTCTTACCAATAATAACATTAAAAAACAATTATAATGATAGCAGTAATATTAATATAAATATCATTCATAGTATCATTATACAATCTACATTATTTGTCTCTGTATGTTTTTTGGTTATCTCTGCCTGGAAATAAATTAAAATAGTACTGCTCTGACTTGAATGGTGATGCGATATGGGCCACATATAGACCATGATTGGTTGATAGTTTGTCACATGATTGAAGTGCACCAATAATCTCCAAATGCAATTTGTGTATAGCTAGAGTATGTGACGTCACCCTAAAATACCTACATGGTATTCTATGGGTTAGCGGCTAAGAAGTTTGAAGAAAACAAAGGATAACCTAAAGCACCTATCACGGAACGCAAGTACGTCTACGCTTGTTCTATGCGAACACAGATACATGCATCGACTAGTCTATTTTCTTTGTATCTCTTTGTAAAACAAATATTTGGACCTCATATTTTGAATCCAGTACAACAGGGTACCCCTTCCGTCACAACAAAAAATGTTTTGGTGATTGAGTTAAGGGTGCAAAAATACAACAGTGGAAATGGCTTCAATGGACAAAGTTGCACGGCATTTCTACATGAATATGTGTACAAGGTTTTGGCAATTTTCTTCAATTTTTTAATGAGTTTTTCTTTCATGGACTTATTTGTACCTCTTTCCATAACTAGATAGGTACCATTTCGGTTTGGGTTGTGGCATCCAAGGGATGTACAAATACCACGCCCATTGTCAGTTCAAACTGGAAGGCTGCCATAGCATCACATGGCTCACACCTATTATCAATGTCCATGACTTTCCATAACTTATCATAATTAATTATTTTTCCATGACTATCTAGGTTTTTCCATAATTTATAAGAATATAGAATTTGTGATAGCTACATGTACATATAGGTCTTTATAACTACCTTCACATGCGAATCCATTTCCTTGAAATCCTTCGTTACATGAGCAGACAAATGATCCATTAGTATTCACACACTGTGCGTCCATATCACAATTAGGGTCATCGTCACATTCATTCGCATCTAGATAAAGATAGATAATGCATTACAGTGAAAACCGTTACGTCTTTCAGATAGTGATGCCAAAGGTCGGTCCCCAGACATTAATCATTATATCTGATTGATTTGATAAACGTAGGTAAAAAACCCAATTACACACCTGTATATAAAGACCGCTCAATGGAGACAAGAAAAGCGGTCTTTATAGTGAGGTAGTCTTTAAACGAATAGTCATATATTAAGTGTTGCGTCACTAGTAATTTTAAAGTCTAACATACTTTACATACATAAGACAGTAAGATGGATTTCAATAGATAGATTTGGTACCAAATTTGTAGTCATGTACCAAATTTTGACCGAAATATTAAAACTTTCCCACAATTACTCAAAAATTAAAATTGCCCATTGAATTATGTACAGACAGCACAAATGTATGATTTGAATTCTCATTATTTCAGTTTCAGACATTACCATTTACTAGCCAAACTAACCTTTTAATTATAAGACGGTAATACAAAGTTGGTTAGCTAAGATTTGATACCAACATTGTAGACATATGTCAAGTTTTGACCAAAATTTACAAGGGCTTTCAACATTGCACAAAATTCTCAATTTCACCACTAAAATTGTATGGGCAGCACCGCTTCCTTCTCCACCCCTGGTGTTCCAACTTCAAAATGCTGTAACACTAATTGTGAATATATAACTTTAATAATTAGCAAGAAAATTACATTGTAACTCAACTTCGAAAATGCTACCAAAATTGTTTGTATCAGCAATATGGTTTTGAAGAAAATTTTACTCTAGGATGGAACCAACATGTGTACAGCATCACCTTTTTTGTTGTCAAACTCATGACTTGTGAAGAATCTTTTTACATGTAAAGATTTGCTAAGGCATAATAAAATATATAATGTCATTATTGTATTGCATAATCATTATATCTTTTGGGCAAAACAGAAGTTGTTATGGGCTGTAATTTTGAGAATCATTGATGTAAGAGAGTATTTTCTTCACCTTCACATTCTCCCTGTAGACTTTTTCTGTAGCCGTCGGCACACTGACACTCAAACAATCCGTTTGTGTTGACACACAGAGCTGACATAGTACAGTTATCATCTTCAGAGGCACACTCGTTGATATCTAGATAGAAATATCAAAGCATATGTCAATTTATTTTGTGAGTAAAATTTGTACGCAAAAAGTAGAATGACAAGATATTGCGAAAAAAGTCACTTCAGGCTTAAAGTTGCTCAAGCATGGGTATATAGAGGACAATACACAGACGTGCGATACCTATGCCATCGTGCAAATTTTTTACACAAGGGATTGTGTAATTTCGAACAACTGTTTGTAATTTAGCTTTAAAATATCAAATCTATTGATATGTGATTAATTGAATACATTTTAAAATGCACATTATTATAGTTCTGTAAACATGTTTATTTACAATTTAATCTTGCAAGTTTTATTTGATATTTGATGGAAACTCATTAAGATTATATTTTCAAAATATGGTCAATGTCCGGGCGTTGCTAGATCTTGCTTAGCAAGCATGCAACATACGTGTACATGATATTTCACTTTGTATGCACTGTACGTACACTGCAAATGTTCATGCAGACTTCATATGACTGCAAGTGCATTATGTACGATTATTATGGTATTACGTGCGGTACTCCCAAACTGCGCCAATGTAAACACTGAGTTTCATTCAGGAGATTATGGCAGGTTCTGTGTGCTGCCCTCTATATACTCAAGCTTGAACATCTTTAAAAGAGGTATTTTGTAACCAGAGATTTCATTTGCACAGGCTTATTCGCAAACGCTCTGTAAAGTGCTAAACATTTTGTGCATACGGAAGCATACCGACTTTCACTGTTTGTAATCCTTATAACACACAGTAAATATGGAGTACATGTAGGACCATTGTTGCATTATACCCACCTAGCTCGCCCACCTGTGACCAAATAGACTATTTTTGTTATAATGTTATGTAATCATTTCATTAGCTTGTTCCGAATAATTGTATTTCAACAGTTACAACTGAAAATTGAAAATATAAATATCATTTTGAGTCATATCACACAACTACCTCCCCATACCTAGCAAAGGTACGAGCCATGTAGTTGGCCTCTGCCAGGTCCCTCCCAGTGCATGTGTCAGCCAGCATGACACAGTCAGTAGATGGTCCATGGTCTGTTGGGGGGGGGGGGTGTTTCCATTTACTGTACCGCTTCTTTCTGACCCACCTGACACACTCACACATGACCCACTTTGTTCCCATTCATTTTCTACACAGGCATTTTCATGAGAATATTTATTGAACGCAGTTGCCATTCATTTAGATGTAAAAAGACTGCGATGGCTTAGCAGGTCACATCTGAATGAGCACTATAGAGTTTAATATTATACCCGTGAAGACCTTCCTGACTTACCAAAGCATTCAATTCCATTTCCAACATATCCTGCATTACAGGTGCAGAGGTAGCTCCCAGGATTATTCTCACACGTCGCATCATCACTGCAATCATCGTCGTTAGTGGAGCACTCATTAGCATCCTCACAGTAGGTACCGTTGCCGACCCAGCCTCCATCACAAGCACATGAGAAACTACCAGGTGAATTATCACAAGTCGACTGTGAGGCGCAGTCATTTAGAGATTCGTCCAGACATTCATTCATATCTTGAATATAGAAAAGAAATAGAAGGCGACGGCTAGGTCAGGGTAGTGGTGAGCACAATTTGTCTTTCATTTTTGCCCCAGAAAATTTGAAAAATCGGTCTACCGATATTTTGCTCAGTGGGGGGGGGGGGGGGGGGGGGGGTGTAATGAGCACTAAATTTCAACCCCCGTTCCTCTACATTTCCTCTTTCCAACCAATGCCAGATTATCCAACCACCCATCTCCTACTCTTCATCTTTCCAACCAATGCCAGATTATCCAACCACCCATCTCCTACTCTTCATCTTTCCAACCAATGCCAGATTATCCAACCACCCATCTCCTACTCTTCATCTTTCCCACCAATGCCAGATTATCCTAACCCCATTCCTCTTCTCTTCCTCTTTTCCACCGATGCAAGATTGTACAGTATGCAGTGGGCTTTAGACAGTCTATTCATACAGATTGCATATACCTGACCACAGTTAAGTGTTTTGTGCAAGCATGCTCACCAATAGGGGCAACCTTGTCAAACAGTGCAAGGAATTAATGGCTTTGTGTGTGAATCGCGACCAAACAATACTGAGCGTGGTCAATACATATCCACCCGCCTTCTGCCCGCGCAAATGTGGAAGTTTATCATGGGCGGTACTGTACCTGTACAAGTGGTTCCATCTCCTACGTAACCCTCATTGCACGTGCATATGAAAGAGCCTTCATTGTTTCCACACGTTGCTTCCGCATCGCATTGGCTCTCCACCGTGCATTCATCAATATCTGGGAATAAAGACAATCATAAGCTTAATTATCATCATTATCATCATCATCACAATTAATTTTTTTACAAAATCGGGTGTTTGTTAGAGAGCATCTTATTGGCTGAGAAGCAATCACATGGCAATTTGTTATATGTGACCAAATATGCAAAATACAGCCTCGTTTTGCATAATAAAATGTACGTCATACCGCATATATCTAAGTATGTGCATACCAATTGTTTGTACTGCCTTAGCCGCATAGATCTGACATGGAAAGCTTGATGGCTTGAACAAACCCCCCAAGGTATGAGATCTCAAATACCCTTATACTTTTATGCAACACATATTGAATGCATATCGTTCTATATAAAATATGTATATTATAAGCCAGAATTTCCCAAGTGCAATTCTATTTCAACGTCAGCATGCATAACATCACTCAGGAATTTGTCTTTTCATACATTGTGTTATACTGAACTCTGGAGCATTCAATATTTGTATAACGTAGTGCAGCTACATGTACTACCATGTGCTAGCTTTTCTGCCTTTTGGTGAACGTGAACCTAATCATTGGTGTGCTTTTAAAAATCATTATTGTTCTTATCATTATTATTATTATTACGTTTATTATTATGATTGTTATGATTATTATTATAACCAAAATTATCATAATCATTGTAATGATGATTATCATGATTCTTATCATTACTCTTACTTTTTCACTATTCATATCATCATTATCATCATTATAGTTGACATTACTGACCTTCACAATTGACGTTATCATTTGTAATTGGAGAAAATCCGACTTCACAATAGCACTGATAGGAACCGATGGTATTATTACAAAGACTGTTGTTTTGGCAACCGTGTGTACCCAATATGCATTCGTTGATATCTGTAAATAAATAAATATTTCAATTTCCGATACAACTCATATTAACCCGACATGTGACTGAAACCTCTTTCAGATGTGAAGCTGTGAAACGCGGCATTTTTCAGGTTTGTTTGTTTTAGCATTTATTTATTCATCTTAGGTGAACACTTACTTTGAAACTTTTGTAGAAATTTTGATCTTCAAAATCAGGACTAAATGAATACATGTCATAATAATTAAAGAAATTAAATTGTTCATATCCTTACAACATTTTGCAATTTGTCAAGATTTATATATTTTTTGATAATGGGACATATTAAGCATTTTCGACAAATATTCAACAATAGCCCTAGTACAATCAGTCCAACTTTCATTCTTGAGTTACGAAAAAAACATAAAAACATCAAATTTACAAGGACTATATATAAATAATATAGTTATTACTGTACTTGTACTGTCACAAAATATAATGTGGTGATTCATTGCGTTGAAATTATGCTTTATATGAAGGGACAGTCTAATGTATAGCATATCCTATAAGTTAAACAAGTTTCATTGAATTGCATTATGTAACTGTGAACATAAATTGACATAAACATAACAATATTCACATTTGTAAAACGCTTACTAAAATGTTTCTAAGCACTTACATTGTAATTATTATTACCATAGTCATTGGATTCTCTAAATTATTACTGTTATTATTATTATCATTATCATCATTATTTTTATCAGTATAATGTATTATTGATACTATTATTATCATTATTATTATATTATCAGGTAGGCTGTATATCTTAAAGACCACCTTACTATTATTATCATTATAATCAAAAGATACTTACCATTACACCTTCTTTGATCCATATCAAGTGTAAAGCCATCATTACACGTGCAATCATATCCATTAAGTCTGTTATCACAGTTCTGATCACATTCATTAAGTGTGTCATTTGCACACTCATCAACATCTAGACAAAAATCGGTATAAAACAATGTCATCTAAAAGCACACAATAAACTGTCCGTTCCATGACAATTTGGGGGCTAAAATCGATACTGAAAGATGAAGTTGAGTTCTGGTCATGCAGTTACAAGTACATTATGGAAGAAACTGTTTAGAAACAAAGGTGAACAGTCAATAAAGTAATATATAATAAATATTGCATGCAGTGATGTTTTAGAATCATCAAAACAACAAGAAATGTACTGGCAAATTGCTGAAAACTACACACAGAAAGGAGTTGGGTTATGAATTAAAAAACGACAAATGTACATGTCGCACTATGATAATCAGTACAGTTTGATATAGTATCATGATGTAGTTGAAAATCATAGATGACTTTAAGAGAATACTAAAAACACTTTATTAACAAGTGTTTTCTCCTGAATGTGTTGTTTTGTTTTATTTTAAGCACCTTTAGGTTATCTTTGTCATCAATCTTTTTATTTTCAGAGGCTTGAGCACCATCTGGGTGAAAATGTTGCTCACTATAAATGACTACATTTCAACTGTTGTAATAATTATTATTATCTTAATTGGTATCATGATATTTATTTTAAAAATTATTGTTACTTCTATGGTAAACAAAGGCATACCAAAGCAAGTTAATCCATCTCCTGTAAGAGACGGTGGGCATGGTCCACACATCGGCATAACTGAAGGTGGCGGCAAGTCAGAGCAGAAAACACCTTCGTAACAAGGGGAACGTTGACAAGAGTCGAAGTCTACACCACAGTGATCACCTGACCAGCCAACCTCGCATGTACATGTGACAACCTGTAACACAGTCATTAAATTCAATCCATTGATGTTTTATTAACAAGAAAATAAATATTTGAACTTTGCATGGTTTGGCAAGCACAGTCAAGATACCCTCCCTTTTCACCTAAGATCCTAACTGATAACAATTTGAATGACCAGATGCCCATTTTTTTTTACATTTTCATTCAGCGACTCATTTATTGTTAATTGTTTTTGCTCACTCATGCATGACTGGTATAATTATAAATGTATATAATTTTAAAGAGGTTTAATTTTATGTTTATTTTAATTAATGAAAGCTAGGTTAATATTAAATACTTATTTTAGAATCTTAACAATAATGGTAATAGTGTCCACTTTCTTGTTTTTACTGAGTGTAATATCATATTTACTATAATTTAAAATGGATAACAAACATATATATAAACAGTACATATCAAAGCCATAAAAAAGTAGATGATCTTTATCTTATGAAAACAAATTATAAAACAAGCAATGGATGGCTAATTAGTTAAGAAACGTTTTATACAAATCAAACAAAAGCAAGAATAACAAAATTGAAATATCATGTATGAATAGAAGTGCTAAGAACATTCTGACAGTACTTCTAGCTATTTTCCACTTACGATTTGTACAACACCATAATCTGTATTTTGGAAAAACACAGTCACAAAGGAATCTGGAAATAAACTCAAGGTAATTTCAATTGCTTTTGTGCCACCTTTTGATAAATGTGCAAAACATTACAATGGATGTTACCTAATTTGAAGATGATTTCTAAAAAGAGCAGTGAGGTGATTATTTGTGAGTCTCTGTGACTGTGTTATGCAAGGAGATATGGAATTCTTCAGTAATTTATTTTTGTGAAATGAAAGTGTTGCTGTAAAAATAGGGCAAATAGGGCAAAGCGATTATGCAAATTACTTGCTTGAGAAAACATTGACAAAGTTGTTTAGATCATACAGAAGAAACATCTGTATTGGTACACCAATAGAAATCACAAGCTGCGTTAAAAAGAAAATATGTATAGACCTATTTGTGTGATTTTTAAAATTATTTCGAAATGCCAAAAAATACATTCATATTTTCAACATCTAAGTTTGCTGCTACTAACAGTGAATGATTGTTTATATGCTTTTGTTAATATTTGTCCAGTAATTCAATATTTCTACTCACGGTAAAGCCATTGTTGTTGAGATCCTGATTTGCTGCTAAGTTGTCAAAGTTGCATACTCCATCATTAGAACACTGACACACTCTGACCTTGTAAGCTAGTAATGTACTCGCTCCAAAATCATCGGTTGCCACGATCTCAATCATAGAAACATCTAAGCTTGGAGGAGTCCACGTGAACAATCCAGTATCTGCAACAGTCAAAGAATATAATGACTAGAAATGCAATCGTATCTCAACGATGTGCGTGCAATGACGCCATGTTTCTACATGTCAAACGAAAGAGCTTTTCTTGGACTATCCAGAGCAATTTGTACGAAGTCTGTAGCTTCTGTGTTACTTGAGATAGGTGGGGCGAAAGAAAGGCCTCAACAGTGACCTTGATGGGATGGTATTGACTACACCTACGAAGTTTGAAAGAAATTGGGATAGGGGAAAGAACATAGAAAGGGCTCACAAGCACTGCGTGCAAAAACCAATGGGATTTGGTGCATGTTGGTCATTGCAACAAAGATCGTTCTGGGGGTCACTAAGCGTGAACCCGATTTGCCCCATAGACAATGCGTGTAATGCATGGGTGGAAAACGTACAGGATCTGTATTATGACGGGAGTTAAATTGTTTTTTCTCTCTCTCTTTATGTCTCTTTATGGGCCGTATTTGGTATCATTGGAAAGAGAATTTCATGGTTGTTATTGTGAACCACTCTTTTTTTTGTCTATGATGATCCTATCGAAACACGTGATGTAAAAGAGATTTATAGGACAAAATGGCATCTTAAATGGCCCCCTTGACCAATTTCAAAAATCCGGCCACGAGGTGCCCTGCGTATTGCAACTCGGAATGTCACTGCAAATTTTCAAGGAAAGAAAAGGACGTTTAGGGGGCGAAAAGTAGTCTGAAAAAATGACATTATAGCCGATATGTGTTATAATTGGGTGGAAACTCGGGGGAATTCGTATAGGTACCCTTGTTCAAATGTGATTTACTCAAAATTGTCTGTGTGAACATATATCATACTTGGTATCATTCGAAAGGGCACTTCATTGCGGTCAGTTTGACACCATCGTCATCTGCGCGCAATGTACTGCACGTATTCAACGCGCTATTACGTAATGCATAGCAAATTCATCATTTTTGGCGATAACTTTGCGAAGAGGGCATTAAACTTTATTCAACTTGGCAGACAGTTGTCACGTATATGGATATATGTGTCTGCCAAGTTTCATTGATGTAGGTATAAAGATCGCTAATTTAGAGCAATCTGAAGTTATTTCTCAATTTTCTTGAAAATGGCGAATTTGGAGGGCATTTTTCGCAAAGTCGGTCAGTGTTAGGGTATATAATTTTGTATATGGCTGGAAAGGGCATATGTTCAGGTATCTAAATCCAAAAAAGGGTACGGGTCTGCCAAGCCAAAATGGAGATAGGGCCACAGAAAGAAATCCCATTCCCAGAAGTTTAGAGGGCGCTATTTATGTTTTGCATAGACATTGGAGCGTGAAATTTGGCATGGCTATGTGCAATCATGAGATAAAGATACTGTGAGATTTAAATACAAAACGGAATTTATATGAGAAAGTTATGGCAGTTTTAGATTATTTAGGGGTCCATTTTTCAAGAATTTTAGAGATTTTTGACGGAGTCGGTTTCTGATGTGAATTTTGAGTACGAAGATGGCATTTTGAAGGTCAAGTGATACGTAGCAGATTAAAGAACAACTCTTAGACTATCTAGAGAGATTTGTAAGAAGTTTGTAGGATCTAGGATAGTGGAGATAGGCAGGAAGATAGAAAGGCCTTATAATGGACCGGAAACGGACAAAATGGCGCCTGGACGTTTACGCAGGAGTGATTTCAGAAAACGAAAAAGTAGGTGACCTAGATTGGATATCAGAGATTACGCCTACGAAGTTTGAAAGGAATCGAGCAAGAGTAAAGGATCTAGATAGGGTCCACAAGCACTACGTGCAAAACGAATGGGATTTCGGACGCTAGGAAGAAGTAAGAATATTAATAACGTGAACGAAAACAAGGCAATGACGAAGGTCGTCATTGCAATAATAATAATATATAATAATAAAAACATGTAATAACAACAATGTATGACACGCTATGTGAATCATTCCTCTGGAAGTGGCAGCAATTTTTGTGTCATCCTTATGTTCCAAGAAGGGACAAAGATCCCCTCTCCCCTCCCTGCATGAAACAAAAGGATGACGTAGAGATTGCCACTAGTATAGTACTCAGTGTTATAATAGTGGCTCGGACTATCCTCAAGGCCGGGTAGGAGCAGCATCACAAAACAATATATGTGGTAGATTAAAGTATAATGCATCTCTATAGAAAATTTGAAAGATATCTGTCAAGAAATGTGGCAGTTATAGCGCACAAAAGACAGCATCACCTATCACTGAAGATGTGTATAATTTACAAAGGACACCTCCATACAAAATTTGAACAAAATATGAAAGAAATCTGTCAAGAAATGCATGTGGCAGTTAGAGCGCATAAAAGACATTTGACCCTATAAAGGACTGAACAATGAGGGCAGCATCACCCAAAAGTGTACATGTATAGATTATATCAAGACCAAATAACAAATGTTTATCTCTTTTTAGGAAAAAATAATATTTCAATGTTTATACCTAATCGCGGAAATGAGGGATTTAGGGGGCTGACATGCAAAGACAAAAGGTCATGTGACTTTGTAACGGTAGGTCCGATTTTTGAAAATGTGTCCATAAAGACACGCAAGACTCTAAGGGAAACAGTCGTGAAGTGGCACAATCAAATATTGAAGCATTACATAGTAATCGTGAATGTAGAGGAGTGGGGCAGGCTAAATCAGCCCCCCCCCCCAGCACTTTTAGGGTTAAGGATTCTGGAGGAAAAAAACATCAGATGACCTTTTTGTATGGTGAAAAAGAGAAAGCAAAATAAACCATTTCTTTGGAAAAAGAAATAGAAGAAAGGATATAGGCGAAATACGTGCATCATCAGATCATGGGTAAGAATCCCATTGGCAGTCTGTGGATAAAAAGGCAACCAATAAACGGTTTTGAAAAATTCTGCATTATGGTAATTTATGCAAATAAAGTCATACAATTCACATTTTTACAATAAATCATTAATTCTTCATATTATATTTACATTAATTTTCATTACATACATTAAATATATTTTAGACCATTTAGAATAATAATACAACAAAATTTGGAAAGGCCAGGTTATTCCTTATGTTATCTATTGCTTTGATAATTTATTATGCATTTCATTGTTTTTTAACTTATGTATTTAAATATTTAAGTGCTGGTCATCCTCAGGGGTTCCAGAACAATGTGAACATTTGTGGAGGGGGGGGGGGGGGGTATAATGGCCCCCCTCCCTGGCCTAATAGGGGTTAATGTGCTCACAAATTACCCAAGATTCTAGCTACCTCTAGGCTCCCGATATTTTGTGCTCACAGCATTCAAGGAATTCCTTCCTACCAATTTGGAGACTTCAACAATTTTTTCAATGAAATCATTCTTTTTCATTATAGTCAAAGCTTTACTGCTCATGTCCGATTTGTAATTGTCATCAGAGCATACTAGATTAAAAGATGAATATTAAACGTCACTAAAAATCGACAATAAACTGCAACATACTTTGGTCTATGGTTGCGCCAGGCTGAACACCCTGCAATGAATACTGGACAACATCTCCATCATTTGGGTCTGAAGCTGTTATTTGTAAGGTGACTGTTTGGTCAACAGTTACACGCAGTATACCGCTCTCTGACAGTGCATCTGTCAAACTGGTCTCAATGACAGATGTGATGTTTGGTGGGAAGTTATCTATAAATTAAATGAAATCAAAATAATAACAACATTAATAATATTAATAATAATCAAAATAATAATAATGATAACAATAAAAGTAAAATTAATATTAATGAAAATAATGATAATAATAAGAAGAATACCATTTCATTTCTAAAGTGTGTTTTGATGTGATACATAGCACATTTTTTACATAAACATATTTAAACTGTACAAGTGTATTTTGCATGATGTTTCGTTAACGGTAGGAGGGGGTGTTTAAAAATTTGTTATTTCTAAGTATTCATTTTGTTTTTTGAGGAAGAAAATTACTACGAGCTGTAACTTACTTAAATCCGATAGCTGTATTTCAAAAGCATTATTAGAAGACAATGTATCTAAACCAACTGATGGATCAACTGCTAGGGAATCAAAGAGGCATGCTTCACTATCCCCGCAAAACGCTTTAGCTTCTGCTGCCAAATCCGGGTCTGCCGCAATCAGCTCTGAGAGGAAGGGAGGGACGTAGTCAGGATCGTTATAATGACTCCAATCCCGATCACCATAATCGAAAAGAGATTCACTCGGTGAGATCATCCCTTCAGAGAAAAGAAATAAATACAAAATAAATGGTAAAGTGAAATCTGTATATAAAGACAACTCAATAGACCTTTTTGAGAAAATTGCACATTTTGTACTAGATCTTTAAAAATAAAGCATCAAACAGTAGTATCTGAATGAGTAACACAAATTCAAAGTACTCAAAGAAAATGTATTTCATTTTTTTGTTGTAATTTCATTTGTGAGATTGAATATATGTTGTGAATTATCTGTATCATTAAAAAGAGTAATAAATTGTTCACAAATTTAGTACACAACATATGGTGATATGTAAGACATGCTGAAACAAGTACAGGAATTTGGGAAATATTGTTGGGTTTTGGAAGAATGTTGAAACAAGCAAAACCCATTCACACAGATAACATTAAAAAGAAGGAAAGTAACTTACAACTTTGTCCAAAATCAAAGATTTCTCTCTCTGTCAGGTTTTTCTCAGCTGTATCCATGATGATGGTTCCGTCCCGGTATTGGAAATCATCATTCTTATCACCATTCATGAGGCCTAAACAAAATTATAATAATTAAAATAATAACATTAATGATGACAAAACTAATGATATAATAATGATAGTACTATCATTATTAATAATAATAATAATAATAATAATAATGATAGTTACACTAAATGTAGTAATTTATAATAATGATACTTGTTATCCTCATCATTTTTAATAATGTAATTTTTGTAATTTTTATTATTATCATTTTTATTATTATTACACTACTAACCGAATAGACCATTTCCAATCCCTCCAGTAGCGTATTCTCGAGGAACAAAACTATTTCCTAGTAATATCCCGGTTCTGAAAACCACACGAAGTCCGGAGCTAGGTATGTCTGGTAGTTTGAAGGTTACGATGATAGCAGTTTCACTTTCTGCCGCCTCATCATCACTGTATAAGTTGAAAGTTGGATCAGCGGAATCGTAGCCATCTGCATGAAGAAATACATTGATCTCGTGAAAGAATTTGTTATAGAGCAATTTCATCCACAAGTGAATAGTCTCTTGATATGACTTCTGATAATGTTACTGGTACACAAAAGAATCGGTCGTAAACGGTCAAAGTAAGAAATGTTCATTTGGGATGAAATAAATTGGATAAATATCATACAGTGCATGTCGTACGGGCCACAGTGCATGTAATCCCCCTACATGTATATCATTTTAAAACTTGAGAAAGGCTCCTCCTATCAAAACAGATATTATGCATTCAATATATTTGTTTAATTTCATATATTATCTGTATAAAATTATGTACACTTGAAATATTGTATCAAGCCATATTGGTAAAAAAGAAAGAAAAAAAAATGCAGAATCCAATAGATGAAATTAAATCAAATCAATAGTACCGTGAAAGGCCTGTTTACTAATTCTATGCATGCTTTTTAAAAACAATTGCTCTTGACAACTAAAAAGAGAAACATGCATAATATATCGAAATACATTAGTAATAAACAGTCCTATCACATGTACCAGCAGTACCTGCTTCAAGAGATGTTATATCGACTGACGTCTGGTTGACCGAGAGTAGCAGCTCTGTTCTATCATCATTTAAAGTAAATGATACCTATAAAGAAATACCAAAATTCATGTAATCAATCATCTTCATCTTCATTATCATTTAGCATTCATTTATTTTTCGGGGAGTAATTTCCTTGGGGGGAGGGGGGGGGGGATTTTCCGGGGAATTTTTGTCCTCTAGGGTGGTTGTTCTCAGGGGGTAATTTTCTGGGGAAGGGGTTATTTACCAGGGGGTAATTGTCTTTGGGGGTGTATTGTCCCGTTCGTAACTGGCTGGGGGTGATTGTCCAGGAGGTCATTGTCCTAGAACCCAACAATACCACAATCATTGTAAAGAACTTTGTAACTGCTTTTAAAAATCTAACCTGAAGACAGTCCTTTTCTTGAAAGCATACAGTACCTAAATGTGTAGAATTTGGACACAATTTTTAATCTTGAATTTTCCTTTCTTCAATATGTTTTACAATGCGTTTAGGAAAAGAAACTAGACAGATGGCGCATTTAAGGGACATTATTAAATATTATAATTAATACTATTATTATTATTATTATATTTATTATTATGATTATCATAAGTATTATTATTAATAATCATTAATTTTATTATTATCATATAAAGTGATTAAGAGGAACACTTCTTAAGAAAGAATTCTCACGTTTGTAATGCCTTGTGTCGCAGCGAAACCCGTAAAGACGGTTCCTGTGTTGACAGGTTCACCATTCCTGAATGCTGCGCCGGTACGAGTCTGGAGAACAAATGGGTCATTATTGTTGTATTGCATCATAATGTACTCGCCAAACCCATTGAAGCTGTACATCCTCCCATCAAAGGTTAAAAAGTGTGGGTCACCAGCTCCCTGAGCTAAAATGATAATAATGATGAGAAATAAATTTGTAATAATATTAATAATAATAGTAACAAAAAGTAATAACGATAGTAATAATAATAAAAATAATAATAATGATGATACTGATAATAATAATGGTTATTAATGTGGCGTAACCGGGCTCTGCCGGGGTAGCGTTCTGCCTCGCAGTCTCTCAAAACCCGGTCCACGCTCTCGACAATCATTCATCAACTATCTCTCTCAGTGGGCTCTCACAAAAGTATATTGTGTAATAATAACGTGGACTAGCTCTCATTCACTTACTCCTGCAATCACTGAATGTCTGACAGGAACTCAAGAAACAACACTTGCACAGTATATCTGCAGTTCAAGTAACTTTACTCGTTCCTGGTAACAGACCTGTCGCAACGACAGCTCGTCGCTGACTGACTGACATCTCACGATCGATGTACACATATATATTTCACAATTAACTATAACGCCCTCTATGTCTTACTAAATTACTGGGCTAGTTATGCTACAATAATAATGTAGTGTGTTCTTCTGCTACCACAATTATTGGATTCAAATACGTCATAATCTGCAAGATCCTCAACAAATGGTGAAAGACTGTTACAGATCTGTGATTAATGTAGGTATGTTGTAGAGTGTATAGACTAATTGTATTTTTGTTGTTGATTGTATTCAATATTTATTTTTATTTTGTTTTTTTCTTTCTGCCAATTTTCTGAATTGGATGACGAGCGCACAAATCATAGGTGTAGCCTAGAGTAAAGGAGGGAGTTTTCGACCGGTGGCAGTTTTTGGCATGGTAAAATCCCTTTAAAATATATTGCATAACAGCATATTACATATCACACACATACAGCAACATGGCAGAGTCACTGAAGAACCACATTTGCAAGGGAAAATATATCCTTAGATAACACATTTTAGCGATGTAATCGGCGGTCCCGCTACCCAAATATGAAAAATTGAGTATCTGTGTGTCTGTAAGGAATATGGGTACCATAAAATGAGCTGTATTTCAAGTATTTTTCCAATTTAGAGCCCAATTTTGTGCGAGTCACAAGCTCAAAAGTATCTCATCACATGTATTATATCAATGCAGCCGGATACCGCAGCGCACACACACTCATTCAGATTCCAATTTCTGATCACCGCATAGGTAGTTTTCGGCACGACAAGCTCCGGCGTGGGATACCTGCTCCGGCCGCTAGTGCTATAGATCAGCAGGGGAACGCTTCCTATTGACTTTGTACATGCAGCCAAAAATTGCCTCGCTAGGCCGAAAACTACCACCGAAACATCGAAAATGGAAATGAATATTGAATATTGAACAAGAAATGATAATAGTTTTAAATAGGAAGTAAAGAGTAAAAAATATAGGATTTTGTCTCAAGTGGCCGAAAAACCCCTCTTTACTCTATCTAATCTAGAGTAAAGGAGCCCGTTTTCGGCCACTTAAGACAAAATCCTATTTTTAGGACCCTTTACTTCCTATTTATTATCATTTTTTGTTCAAATCATGAAGCAAATATTATTATTATTTAAACAAAAAAAGAATCCCAGAAAAAAATCACGAATTGCCATGACAATATTCATTTCAATTTTCACTGTTTTGGAGCCAGTTATCGGCCGAGCGTTTCAGTTTACGGCCGCATGTACAAAGTCAATAGGAAACGCTTGGTCAATTTGCCCCCCCCCCCCCCCCCCCCCCCCCCCTGTAGAAATTTCGCGACTACTCTGAAACCGCGGCATGACTTTTTTCATGACTTTTTTCATGACTTTTTACTTTCGAGTCTTACGCATCTTTTAAAACATTTTTTCCGAAAATCAGACCTACGGTTACAAGGTCTCGTGACCTTTTATCTTTGCACGTCAGCCCGAAAATCGCTCATTTTCGTGATTTGTGTACAAAACATATGTAAAAATCATTTTGCCTAAAAATAAATAAAACATTGGTTATTCAGTCTTGTTTAAAGTTTAGATGTTTGTTTTGGGGTCAAAATAGTTGAATTGTAGTTATAAATGAAATGAAACAACAAAAGCAATAAAATACATAAGTTAAAAAAACAATGAAATACATAAGAAATTATAAAAACAAGAGGTAACATAAGGAATAACCTAGCTCTTCCAATTTTTTGTGTTGTATTATTATTCCAAATGGTCTAATAAATATATGCAGTGAAAAAGAATACGTAAACATGAATAATCTATGATTTATGGGCAGAAATGTGAATTTGATGACCTTATTTCCATAAATTACCATAAATATGCAAATGAGTGAATTTTTCAAAAATTTGAAATTACCATAGTATTCTATACACTTCACTTGACATGCATGCACATTTTCGCGGCGATCGGTGGTGAAACGGCCAAGATCTTAGGGGGGGGGGGTCAAATTGACCCCCCTCCCCAGTAAAAACCTCGTCTGAAATAGCCCAGTTAAAATAGGGTTAATAGACAAAAAAAACTCACCACTATTGGGAGGGTTGTATCCGTCACAGCTTGCCTGTGGGCGACGCTCCTCATAAAGATCACAATATCCCTCACTCAGAATAGCCCTTTCACAGCACATTTGTCTAGGTACGACGTCCTCACCTAAAATATTGAATGGATATCAGGATAATTTATTTTTGCATTAAGCAGTCCTTTATACAGTGTACCAATCATCAAAAATATGTCATGTATGTCAGTAAATCCTCGTGTTGATGATATATATGCAAAATATGGGTTTCAAATATTACTTTATAAAATAGAGATTGACACAACCTTAATCAACATAATACTTTTTAAGAGTAACTTTCGACGCACCTGCATAAAAAGCTATTTTGTTTATATTGTAGGATGTAGAGCAATTGAGTTGCTCGTATATCGTCTTTAATCGCTTGTTCAGACACCCACTCTTAATCCTAAGGCTGAACCTTAACCCTAAATCTTTTACCCTAAATGAAACCCGAACCCTACCCGAATCTAAAATCACAATTGTATTACATCATCAGACACCAGTACTAACATTTGGTTATTGGAGAAGAATGGTTAATTACTGAGAGCATGAATAATTATGAGGTGGTGGTATATTCGTTGTATATAGCCGTATTAAGTCGACCGTCACTAGCTAATCTGTGACAAATTCACGTCCCGCAATTAGCTTGAACCCAAGTCTGACTAAAGCTATAGTCAGCAGCTTTATGCTTAGTTTCTTCATACACTTGACTGTACTTCTTTTTTGTTAGCCCATAGCATGCAGGGGATGTTTTTTAGGTTCGATTGTATACATTGTAGCTAGACACACATTATCTTTAAGGTGATTGGTATTTACTGTTTGCTAATGTGAGGCACAAACAGTATAATAATTGAATATGATGTAGAATACATATATACATGAAAGTTAATATGCTTAGCACTACAATGTATTGAGCTTCTCCAGGCATATCAGCTCAATTATTATGTTAACCAAATGATTGGTGAAAGGCAGCCACATGTGATTCATTTATTTAGATTATCACATATCTATATATACCGGTATATACATATAATATGAATATAGGAGTGACTTGTATAATGTACTATGTAGAGAGCGTGAATGGAGGGGGCGAGGGTACTCAGATTTTATTTGGACGGGGGTGTGACGCTCAAGCTCAATACCCGTATCCATTTTCATTAGTCATTTTGGTAGAAAAAAATACAAATTTGTAATGATTTTTCTCAAAATTTAAGCCATTTTTTTTACCTGCAAACACTGACAATTTTGGAACAATGGACCCATGTTATGCTATGGTCACAAAACCCAAAAGTAGCCTGCTCGGCGGCCGAGCGGCGAGTTTTTAACCAATTTTGCCCGGCGGCTGCCCGGCCACCGAGCGGCGGCCGCCCAGGCACTGCTCGTTTTTAGGGCATCGCTCGGTCGCCGCTGAAGTTTTAGCGCGGAGTTAAAATTTGGGCGGCGCCTGCTCACTTTTCACTCACCGCCCAAAATTCGCTCGGTGCCTGGGCGGTCGCTGCCCGGGCACCGACCTAATCGCTGGGCGATGCCTTATTCCAGCAGCGACCGAGCAGGCTACTGATCGGTCGGTCGATCGCTGCTCTGATTTGTGACCATAGCTTTAAGAATTATTATTTTTTTTTTAAATATAGAAAACGGAATCCATGTTTAGGGATTCTTTGGTGGAAAACCAAACCATTAGAGCGGCATATCCCTGTATGTCTTAAACATGTGAGTACCTCATATTGATTGACGACTGATCACTGACTGATCAGATCTCTAGTGCTTGATGACTATACCCAGCATTTCGATGAATGATGAAAGTGGGGATTTTTTGGTGGAAAACCAAACCATTAGAGCGGCATATCCCTGTATGTCTTAAACATGTGAGCCTCATATTGATTGACGACTGATCACTGACTGATCAGATCTCTAGTGCTTGATGACTATATCCCAGCATTTCGATGAATGATGAAAGTGGAGATTTTTAACAACTTTACATTTGCTACAGGCTGATATTTGCAAACACATACATGAAACTTACTTTTCCATTCATCATACAAAGCGTCATTTCTTCTTAGAGATCTGGTAAGTAAGAGTGCCTGGAAATTGCTGGATTCCCATAGGTTCTGGTAGTCTGTGACTAGAGCATTATTGATGTAGTTACAGCGGAAACCCTCATCACCATCCGTGGTTGACTGGAAGCATTTCACTGAATCTAAGCGGGCGAAGGGGGTTGGGAACGGTAATGTGGGGGGGGGGGGGTAGAATGTGGAGAAGGAGACAGGGAGTGGGCAGGGTACGGGGAAGGGGTTTTAGGAGGGATTGGGGGTGGGAGGTGTCGGAGAATGGGTTAGGAAAGGGATAGATAAGATGTACAAGTAATAAGGCTAAAGCCACGTTCATTTAGATGAACCCCAATTTTGAAATAAATCATTACACCTTTCTACTTTTGACCATTACTATAATAATGATATCCTATATTATAAGAGAGTTTCACCAGGATGGTTGTAATAATGATTTTTAATTTCTTTTATCTCATCAAAACTGTTTGTTAAATTTTGCTTTTGGATGGGATAAAAGAATTTAAAAATCCTCCTAACGTCAATTTCAATTATCAGTAACATTTACATGAAAAACTGAAATAATGTCCTCTTTTGGAAAATAAACACAAGTTAAGTAATGATACACCTGTCATGTATCAATATATAGCTTCATGTGTTTGATATTCGAAGCTGAAAGAAAATTTCTAAAACAGTTCTCTCACAGCACGACTTTAATATATCGGTTGTTATTAAATTGAATGTCGATTTCAACAGCATAATTTACACACTAATTTTAAATAATGATATATAATTTGGGGGGATTAAGTTGCAAACAATAATCATGCTAGGCAGCAATTGCTGTTTATGTTTGAAGTCAAAGAGGCAATATTTATAGCAAATATCAGTCATCTTGGGATATTTTCGAACTTACTATAACTGGAACTACTGAAATCAGGATCGTTGCCCCTTGGAAAAGTACATCTTCTGAAGTTTACGTCACTTGCAGCTTGTTTCCTTGAACAAGGGCACACAGATGCATCGGGATAGTTGTAGGTCACGCTGAGGTCATTCTCATACCAGATCAGACACTCAACACATGGGTTGACAAAATCGGCACCATTGAGGTCTAGGCGATAAATGTAGCTGCCCTGAAGGTACAAATATCACACAACAAGTTTAAAGTAAACCGATCATTAATACACAAACTATAACTCCATGTATGACTTGACAGCATCACGTAACGCAAAATATAGTACTGTGAAACACATTTTTCGTTAATCTGCATTTTTATAAAAGTGTGATAAAGATATGGACACTCCTATATTTCATAGACCTAACTAACTGGATCACATGTGACTGACATGAGCGCTATACAAGAACCCACTATTATTATTATTATTATTATTATTCAAGGATACAAGGGACACAATTTGTATTCCGTATTCATCTCAGGTTTGTGGTTTATTTAAAGTGTATCAATCAGAGAAATAATATTTTATAATGTAGCATTAAAATAAAATATCATTGCCTCCAATCAAAGAACATAATTATATGATCAATTAAGCCCCCAAAAGGCCCTTGTCCTGCAAGTGCTAAACAGATAAGAACAGCTTACCGTCTGACCCGTATTTCCTGTGACCAAGTCTCGTCGATAACTATTATAAATAGTGTCCTGATCAGTATCTTCATACAGATTCATTACATCGTCAATGTTACTGTATCCCACTCGTGCTGGTAATGGTTTTGATTGAGTCAGCCATTGAAGGTCCCCTGCCTGGTAGTTCATCATTACACCTGTCTGTTTGCCGTCGGTGAATACCACAGCCTGGTAGGTGTTTGTCTAATAAATAATAATGATAATAGCTACATTTATTTTGCACAAGTACTTATCCTGGGGGTGCTCAATGCGCCTACAATGTAGTATGATTACCCTGGCTACAGCGTAGCTGCCCTCAGGCGCTAAAAACATTCAACAATAATTCCTACCAGGTACCTATTTACTACACCTGGATGGAGAGTGACAAATGCAGATAAATATATTGCCAAAGGAAAGTATTAGTGGGGAGGGACTTGAACTGCGAACCATGTATATATTAACCACAGCAGGGTAATCGATTTATCCACTAGACACAGTTTATCCCATGGAAAATCAGATTAAACTTGAGCATTTTAGTAAAAGAGAAAGTCATTTACTGTTTTAAAAATTATTAAAGAGAGGTTGAAGTTCTGATAAAGGAGAACAATAACATTCAATAAGTTTGTTGTTACATCGTGTGGCTGGGTAGTCCTGAAATAGACTATTTGGTTTGGAAGGATATATAAAAGAAAAAGAAAGTGAGGGAGCAATATTCGTTTGGTTTTGTCACATATAGGATTATCTGATATGGTTGGGAGAGAAGTAGAGACAATTAGGAGAGAGAGTATTATTTCGTCAGTGACGTCTAGAAAAGACTGGTGGACCGGGTTATGAATGCAGAGAGAGAGAGAGGGCGCGCGAGGCTCGAAGTCCCAGACGCGGGTTTGATAATTGTTCTTTATCACTCTTACAAAAGGTCAACCTGTTCAACCTCTATAATATGGCACAGGAAAAGACCAAACACCAAGACCTCGCCCAGTGGATGGCTCACTTAAACTATAGGGGAAACTGAATGAAAATCTGTGATTATTGATAAAGGTCAACATGCTTATGGCAATTTCTATAAATGTGATTGCTAGCCGAACCACAGGAACCATGTTTGAGAGAAACGAATTTGACTTACCATTCAAGCATGTATTTTCTCTGAATTTCCAAATATCATGCATACACAAAGTCAAAAGAAAGTGACACCACCTCGCCTGTGGTACATGTTTCTAATCTTACCTCCTGTCCCGGTTGTGATCCAGGGGGCTGGATACCTTCCCAAGTGATCTTCAACGCTACTATTGGATTCGTTTCACTCAGTTCTGAGTCTGCCCTGTTTAGTCTGCTCTTTAAGGCTTGAAGAAGGGATCCTCCGTTGTTATCTGAGAGGTCATACTCATCTTGAAGCTAGAAAAAATAGTTATATATACCGTATGTGAATAGAAAAAAGAACTGTAATATTACATTAAACTAGATGGACCTTCGACCGCGCGCAGTCGAAAATGATGCCTCCGCCATGGAGCAATTTTACAAACCAAAACAGAAGCAAGCTATTTTTGCATACATAATGAGCCCTGTGACCTTTGACATTTGACCTCGTTACCCCAAAATTTAATCCGTTCATTGGCTCTGCAAGATAAATACATGACCCAAGTTTGGCGGGAATCCATTAATGGGTTCTTGAGATAAAGCGATCACAAGCTATTTTGAATACATAATGAACCCTGTGACCTTTGACCTTGGATCTCGCGACCCCAAAATCTAATCAGTTTATTGGCTCTGCAAGATACATACATGACCCAAGTTTGGCAGGAATCCATCAATGGGTTCTTGAGATAACGCGATCACGAGCTATTTTGCATACATAATGAGCCCTGTGACCTTTTACCTTGGATCTCGCAACCCCAAAATCTAATCAGTTCATTGGTTCTGCAAGATACATACATGACCCAAGTTTGGCGGGAATCCATCAGTTGGTTCTTGAGATAACGCGATCACAAGAACGGGACGTACAGACGGACAACCCGAAAACATAATGCCTCTGGCTACTTCGTAACGGAGGCATAAAAAGAAAATCTTGGATGAAATATCACATTCTGATATTTTACACGTTTACACTTTGAAGGCTAGATTAAGATGAGCTTATATATAGTGATTGGTTTGCTACCAATAATGACATCAGGCAAAGTTGTTTAATTTCACCCACCATGTTCAATATATTCTTGGAACATATCATTACAGAAGCAAAGGTGAATTATGTGTTATCAATCTGAGATTTGCCAATGGCATCGACCTAATTTTTGGAATACCAAATGTTCCCTTACAAGATTACAAAAAGTAATCTTGATGAAAATCAGTGCTGATAAATGCAAGACCTGTAAAATGGGTTCTGCTGATAATGTAACAGTTAAGATTGAAAGAGAATAGCTTGATACCATTAATCAATTCAAATATCTAGGGTCAACTATAACAGAGTATGCACGAAAGTCAAAATCGGAATTGCAGTGGCCATGCACATCTCCCCTTGCAAGTCTGTAACCAATGACATTTTCGTCAGTTGCAGGACATGACGATCCGACATCAAATTTCGAGAATGCGATATCTCCATAATTCTTAGACAGTAGATGTTGGAGTTGCGCCAATTTGTAGTCAAAGACTTTGCAGTCCATTTGGTAATAACTAAATAAATTTGTGTAAAATATGAGATATCATGGATCGAATATCACATTTCCTTGTATTAAAAAAAATCAGCAAACTTTGGTCACCCCCATGATACACGTATATCATAGGTTGTTGCATTAACGTTGCAAAGTCTGCTAAGTGAGCCCCCTCCCGGAATAGACCGGGCAATGTTTCACAGAACTGTCATAAGTACCAGTTCACCGACATCCAAATGAAATGTGAGTATTATAATTAGCACGTACTTCAGTGGTATGTCGTTGAACTTGTCCTTATTTCAGTTTAGTTAAACTATGAACTGTTTAGTAATTTTATTCAAACTCTTTGAACAAAATTTTCTCTTAACCACTCAAATGCTTGCTTTAGGATCAAAAGTATAGCAGCAACTATAAATGGGAAGTAGACATCCATATAAATACTGTAAGACATTGTAGAATGTAATAAAACAATAATTATAAAGTATATGTTAAAGTATTGAGACACTAAAGCAGTGTAATGGCATTCAATCCAACATCAATATCATTATCATTCTGATAATCATCCACCATCATATTTTACTATCGACCAGCGTATTTTACTATTATCATTATCATTGTTTAATATCATGATCATCGTCATTATAGCCCCCAAAATTGATATATTAAATTAAGACCGTTCGATCTAATGTATCTTCTTCACAGGAATGATATTACATACTGATTTTGCTTTCACATGAAAGTAAGAATATCTTCAAGTGTACTTATGTACTGTATGTTTCTAGTTCGATTGCGTTATAATTCAAAATATAAGTTCTGAACAGTACTTCCGTAAAGAGATTTTGCAAGTACGCTCTCAATTCCGACTTGTGTTCTGTGTGAACTGTTTTGTGTTATTCTTTATTTTCTTCATCCCCTTTCTTTTTTTTAGCCCATATTTACCAGACTAAGTTTTGGAGGTGGACTTACACGTTTAATCTGTTTACATTTTTCCTAAAGGTTATTGGTACATATATTTTTCAATGTTTACTCAAATCATACCTGATAAAATATTTTGGGATCACCAATGCTGAGGTCCACTGCAGCTCCTAGGACAGCAACTGACGCATCTCCATCAGTTGTAGTGAAGAGAGATGGGTTGGTGTACTGAGTCACAAACTTGTCTATCGAACATTCGTCGTTGGAGAACTCGATCATGCCAGTAGATGTGAACTATATGTACATAGGATAATCAAAAAGATATTTGGTTCAGGATTGTGAGCAATCATAGATAATGTTATATTACGCAAATGCTTTTAGGGACATGTTTAAAACTAGTTCCCAAGGCGATCTCGAAAGCCGTATTGTGCCCTGAGACAAAGTTCATGGGCACAAATTTCAGATCACAGTGGATGAATGGTTTACCTGAAAAATATAATCAATTAATATAAGTTCTTTGTAACACATTTTCTGTGTAGATCCCCAAAGATAATATAAAAACTATGATATAGATGTACGTCAAAAAGTCAAAATATATGTGATATAAAGTATACATTATCACAGATCAACAAAAGTCAACATGAATGGGTAATTTAGTCACCCTTTAAATAACACGGCACTATTCGTATAAAAGTAGGGGAAACCTCTGTGTGGTTGTCCATCTGCTTATCCCAATCGGTTTTACAGGGAGGAGAGATCCGGGGGTCACTGCAATTTTCATTAATTTCCAGGGACCCATAAACCAAATCATCAATACAACTAGTAGTACTAGAACTAATAATGATACTAATAATAACTAGAAATTTAATTCGTCATGGGGACGATTTAGGTGGTCCGTCTTCTTATGATAGATTTGAGAATGGGAGAAATTATATAGACATATAAACAATGATGATCATGATGATGATGATCATGATGATATTGCTCGCGAAAGACGGGAATGTAGAATCTAGTTTTGAGAAAAAGTCATGTCCCATAGAGACTACACGCAAAATGTGAAAAATTGACATGCCTCCTTTAATCGCAAGAATACGCCATGATAGGAAATTGTCTCAGCTAGAACATATCCAAATTCGGAGGAAAATCGATCAATATTTACAGAGATACAATCAATTTTCTAAAAATATGCTGACGTCATAATAAGCAAATAGAAATTTTGAGTTCAGAGGCCATTATGATGATGTCATGAGTTCATTGAGGGTCAAATGAGACATGAAATCATATCTACGATTCATACTCTATCTAAATATGAAAATAAAATTAGGGGTCAACTGGCATCTTAAAGAGCTACAATGGATTTTGTATAGGCATGTTTTTGCCTATATATGCTATGTATTACAACAGTTCACACGCAAGTACATGTATCTTAAACAGACGCTCATTCCATTATTAATGTTCAAAAACATGTGAACAAGGTATCAAAATGCTTGGAAAAATGTGCCAAATATGATGACCGAGAAAATCCGGCGATTTCATGTTGCAAAATGCCAGGACGCGCGAAAACGCGCGCGCATGCGCATGCGCGTGTGCGCATTTGTTTGCGAAATGCTTAAAATGACCTGATTCGTACTCTCGTTTAATAGTTAAGTGATTTTGAGCATTTTAAAATGTTGACGCGCGCGTACGCGTGTGTCATGACCTTTATTTGACCTTTGATGACATGACCTTTGACCTTAAGTATATGTGATATGAATATGAATGACCATTGATGACGCGTCATGAAGATATAATGTATAATGTGATTTCACAAAATGGCGCCTGGATGACGTCATGAAGAGTTGATGAACTTGTAAATGTTCCTGTCACGTCTCATGACAATGACCTATAACTGTGCCAAAATTAAAAGAAATTGACTGAACAGATCTTGAGAAATCCACGGAACAAAAAAGGAAATAAAGAATAATAAATAAATAAATAAATAAAGAAAGAAAATTCTGACGAAATCAATAGGTGAACAGACCACCTAATAATAATGATAATGATAATAACATTAATAACAATAAACCCACCCGTATCGTTGTGTATAGATGCCCGTCACCAATCGGAATACATGACTTGACGTCAACGCACCCCCAAGCCATTGAGTCAGATTGGAAAGTCACCTGTTCATCAATGTCTGCTCCATAATCCAAGTAGATTATCTCTATTAAAATAAAAATAAAAACAATTAAAGAAAAATTGAAAACAAATTTGCAGTCGAAAATGATGCCTCTGCCATATAGCGATTTTATAAACCAAAACAGAACCAATTTTTAAAATTTGAATTTGAATCCATTAACAATGTTCTCAGAATATCGGGATTACAAGCTATTTTTTATATTATATGTATGATCCTTTGATCTTTGACCTCATGACCCTAAAATATAATCAAATACATGACCCAGGTTTGGAGGTAATCCATCAAATCGATTCTTGAGAACGCGATCACTAGCTACTTTTGCATACATAATGAGCTCTGTGATCTCTGACCTTTGACGTCTGATCTCGTGACCCTAACATCTAATCGGTTCATTGGCTATGCAAGATACATAGGCCTTCATGACTTAAGTTTGGCGGGAATCCATCAATCGGTTCTTAAGATAACGCGTCGTACAGACGGACGGACGGACAACCCCAGAACGTATAATGCCTTCGGCTACTTTGTAGAGGAGGCATGCAAATCGATGTATACAGGCACAGGCAATACGACAATTGGCATGACCTGGATCTATTTTAATCCCATGTATCATTCAAAGCTGTCAAGCTAGGTACGATAGGTAAACCTATACTGCAGCCACAACACAAATCCAATAATGAAGAAATTAGAAAGGCAATATTTGATCTATGCAACGAAAACATTATTTGTTTCAAGTAGGATTGATCTACACCATTGTTGATGGCAAATGATTTCCATGTTTAGTAGGTAAGTGCGCACAAAGAGAGACTATTTGTGAGGGTAAACACATAAAATACACCATTTTATGGTCCAACATTGGCGCCATTTTATATTGCGAGTAATGCCATTTTAAATTGCAAGTAACTTTTATTATATGCAGCATGCAAGGCGCATGTGTCGAAAAGATGTGAGGGCGCAGCACAGGCAGTACCTGACGCAACAATACATTTGCGTCTGAAAACATTGATGACTCAATGTTTACTCGCAAATTGAATTGGCGGCCTTAAATGTGAACGGGTGTAAAGTAATTATAAATGATCTGACCAAAGACAATAAGCGATGGATAAACAAGTCCTGATGTTTTAATTCGATCATTATTGATTTTTTTTCTTCAAAAAAATACATTGGAATGGTTTGAGCAAGTGCATATACTATGATGCATCAGTTTTAATTACACGAGCGAATGTGTGATATTTATGACTCCGCCTAGCCGCGGTACGGGTGCCAGAGGCATTATGTTTTTGGGTTGTCCGGCTGTTGATCACTCCGTACTATAATGTCTGTTCTTCCATCCCTCGGTCCCGCTTTCTTGTTATTGCGATATCCAAGAACCACTTGAGGTATGAATTTCAAACTTCATGATAGTATGTATTACCATAGGAAGACTATGTGATCAATATTTTTGTAAAAAATTCATACGTAAAAGGTCACAGAGGCCAACATCTGACATTCAAGGTATTTTTATCGCAATTTCGCAAGAACCACTAGAGATACAAGGCTCGCACCAAGTGATAATGTATCACAGTAGGAAGACGATCGCAATATAATTAAATTAGGGGTTATAGCTCCCCATGCAAACACAGAGGTCAACATTTTGTTTGGCCTTGCTATCAAAATGGTAACAATATTGCTATATGAAGATGATCCTATTCCAGATATAATAATTTAATATGTCAAAATCATAGTCATCGGCTGAATATGGTTACAGGCTATTTCTTTTCATCGTGATAAGTCAAGAATAATTTCATTCATTTCCTATATTGAATTTAGGGCGGGGGACATGTAGGAAATGCAGTCGCGTTTGCCTTGTTTCAAGTTTAACTCCTAACACCTTCTTAAGACAGCTTCGCGAAACCTTGTGGCAAAATCCTGGCTCGGCCATTTTCGCTTCTAGCCCCAAGCCTTTCCAATTTACCATTTGGCTTTCACTGCCCTTGTTCACCCATTGCAGTCAAGAGTTTTTTAAACGTCTAGTTTTTTAGCTTTTCCTCTTCCATTGGCAATAATAATTTGTATTTCCACTCTTTCATAGAGTTAGAAGGCGAAAATGGATTTCAAATGAAAGTGTGAAAAAAAGCTATGAAAAATCAATATAAATTGTAAATTTGTACATGCAAATAGCGATATTAATTTTCACTCGCCACTGCTAATTTAGAAAGTTAAATGTCTATTTCAGATTAAATCATAATTAATACTGGCAAAGTGTACCATACTGTGACAGAAGTGGATTTAAATTTTCTAGTGTCTTTCGGACTGAATATCTCTTTCAAACTTCAAATCTGTATGTCTGTACTTTCACTTCTGTTGACTCTCAAGTAAGAAGAAACTCAAAGAAATTCCTCAACAGTCACTGTTATTACTTTCTTCCTGTTTCCTTGTTCGCAATGTAACTATATTTTCTTTATAAGCAACGGATAAATATGTGAAAATTGATTTCCAAAGGCAATGAATTTGATGAAGATGACGAGAATTTTTTTTTGGACAGATTATTCTTCACTTGACGGATTACAGGAAAAAAGAGTCAAAAGTGGTATCTTCAATTCGATTAAACACGGTGAGAGAAAGAGTTATCTCATTTGTGAAGATATATATCAATAAATCCAACCAAGTAAATGGACTGAATATCTCTTTCAAACTTCAAATCTGTATGTCTGTACTTTTACTTCTGTTGACTCTCAAGTAAAAAGAAACTCAAAGAAATTCCTCAACAGTCACTGTAATTTCTTTCTTTCTGTTTCCTTGTTCGCTATTTATCTTTTATTTTTTGATAAGCAACGGATGAGAATAACATTGGATTTTGCTTAACATCAAAAATGCATGTATGTAAGATTGTAATCTAATTAGACGTTATAGCTTACCAATTTCGCAGGTAGTCCCAGTGTAGCCATCATCACATACGCACGTAACGGTGGGATCTCCATCAGTACAAGCTCCTCTACTCATACACGAATCGGCAGCACAAACGACTAAATATGTGAAAATTGATTTCCAAAGGCAATGAATTTGATGAAGATGACGAGAAGTTTTTTTTTGGACAGATTATTCTTTACTTGACGGATTACAGGAAAAAAGAGTCAAAAGTGGTATCTTCAATTCGATTAAACACAGTGAGAGAAAGAGTTACCTCATTTGTGAAACTATATATCAATAAATCCAACCAAGTAAATGGACTGAATATCTCTTTCAAACTTCAAATCTGTATGTCTGTACTTTTACTTCTGTTGACTCTCAAGTAAGAAGAAACTCAAAGAAATTCCTCAACAGTCACTGTTATTTCTTTCTTTCTGTTTCCTTGTTCGCAATGAATCTATATTTTCTTTATAAGCAACGGATGAGAACAACTTTGGATTTTGCTTTTCATCAAAAATGCATGTATGTAAGATTGTAATCTAATTAGACGTTATAGCTTACCAATTTTACAGGTAGACCCAGTGTAGCCATCATCACATACGCACGTAACGGTGGGATCTCCATCAGTACAAGCTCCTCTACTCATACACGAATCGGCAGCACAAACGACTAAATATGTGAAAATTGATTTCCAAAGGCAATGAATTTGATGAAGATGACGAGAATTTTTTTTTGGACAGATTATTCTTCACTTGACGGATTACAGGAAAAAAAAGTCAAAAGTGGTATCTTCAATTCGATTAAACACAGTTTTAGAAAGAGTTACCTCATTTGTGAAACTATTTATCAATAAATCCAACCAAGTAAATGGACTGAATATCTCTTTCAAACTTCAAATCTGTATGTCTGTACTTTTACTTCTGTTGACTCTCAAGTAAGAAGAAACTCAAAGAAATTCCTCAACAGTCACTGTTATTTCTTTCTTTCTGTTTCCTTGTTCGTAATGTATCTATTATTTTTTGATAAGCAACGGATGAGAATAACATTGGATTTTGCTTAACATCAAAAATGCATGTATGTAAGATTGTAATCTAATTAGACGTTATAGCTTACCAATTTCACAGGTAGTCCCAGTGTAGCCATCATCACATACGCACGTAACGGTGGGATCTCCATCAGTACAAGCTCCTCTACTCATACACGAATCGGCAGCACAAACGACTAAATATGTGAAAATTGATTTCCAAAGGCAATGAATTTGATGAAGATGACGAGAATTTTTTTTTTGGACAGATTATTCTTCACTTGACGGATTACAGGAAAAAAAAGTCAAAAGTGGTATCTTCAATTCGATTAAACACAGTTTTAGAAAGAGTTACCTCATTTTTGAAGATATATATCAATAAATCCAACCAAGTAAATGGACTGAATATCTCTTTCAAACTTCAAACCTGTATGTCTGTACTTTTACTTCTGTTGACTCTCAAGTAAGAAGAAACTCAAAGAAATTCCTCAACAATCACTGTTATTTCTTTCTTTCTGTTTCCTTGTTCGCTATTTATCTATTTTTTTTTGATAAGCAACGGATGAGAATAACATTGGATTTTGCTTAACATCAAAAATGCATGTATTTAAGATTGTAATCTAATTAGACGTTATAGCTTACCAATTTCACAGGTAGTCCCAGTGTAGCCATCATCACATACGCACGTAACGGTGGGATCTCCATCAGTACAAGCTCCTCTACTCATACACGAATCGGCAGCACAAACGACTAAATATGTGAAAATTGATTTCCAAAGGCAATGAATTTGATGAAGATGACGAGAATTTTTTTTTTGGACAGATTATTCTTCACTTGACGGATTACAGGAAAAAAGAGTCAAAAGTGGTATCTTCAATTCGGTTAAACACAGTGAGAGAAAGAGTTACCTCATTTGTGAAACTATATATCAATAAATCCAACCAAGTAAATGGACTGAATATCTCTTTCAAACTTCAAATCTGTATGTCTGTACTTTTACTTCTGTTGACTCTCAAGTAAGAAGAAACTCAAAGAAATTCCTCAACAGTCACTGTTATTTCTTTCTTTCTGTTTCCTTGTTCGCAATGAATCTATATTTTCTTTATAAGCAACGGATGAGAACAACTTTGGATTTTGCTTTTCATCAAAAATGCATGTATGTAAGATTGTAATCTAATTAGACGTTATAGCTTACCAATTTCACAGGTAGACCCAGTGTAGCCATCATCACATACGCACGTAACGGTGGGATCTCCATCAGTACAAGCTCCTCTACTCATACACGAATCGGCAGCACAAACGACTAAATATGTGAAAATTGATTTCCAAAGGCAATGAATTTGATGAAGATGACGAGAATTTTTTTTTTGGACAGATTATTCTTCACTTGACGGATTACAGGAAAAAAAAGTCAAAAGTGGTATCTTCAATTCGATTAAACACAGTTTTAGAAAGAGTTACCTCATTTGTGAAACTATTTATCAATAAATCCAACCAAGTAAATGGACTGAATATCTCTTTCAAACTTCAAATCTGTATGTCTGTACTTTTACTTCTGTTGACTCTCAAGTAAGAAGAAACTCAAAGAAATTCCTCAACAGTCACTGTTATTTCTTTCTTTCTGTTTCCTTGTTCGTAATGTATCTATTATTTTTTGATAAGCAACGGATGAGAATAACATTGGATTTTGCTTAACATCAAAAATGCATGTATGTAAGATTGTAATCTAATTAGACGTTATAGCTTACCAATTTCACAGGTAGTCCCAGTGTAGCCATCATCACATACGCACGTAACGGTGGGATCTCCATCAGTACAAGCTCCTCTACTCATACACGAATCGGCAGCACAAACGACTAAATATGTGAAAATTGATTTCCAAAGGCAATGAATTTGATGAAGATGACGAGAATTTTTTTTTTGGACAGATTATTCTTCACTTGACGGATTACAGGAAAAAAAAGTCAAAAGTGGTATCTTCAATTCGATTAAACACAGTTTTAGAAAGAGTTACCTCATTTTTGAAGATATATATCAATAAATCCAACCAAGTAAATGGACTGAATATCTCTTTCAAACTTCAAACCTGTATGTCTGTACTTTTACTTCTGTTGACTCTCAAGTAAGAAGAAACTCAAAGAAATTCCTCAACAATCACTGTTATTTCTTTCTTTCTGTTTCCTTGTTCGCTATTTATCTATTTTTTTTTGATAAGCAACGGATGAGAATAACATTGGATTTTGCTTAACATCAAAAATGCATGTATTTAAGATTGTAATCTAATTAGACGTTATAGCTTACCAATTTCACAGGTAGTCCCAGTGTAGCCATCATCACATACGCACGTAACGGTGGGATCTCCATCAGTACAAGCTCCTCTACTCATACACGAATCGGCAGCACAAACGACTAAATATGTGAAAATTGATTTCCAAAGGCAATGAATTTGATGAAGATGACGAGAATTTTTTTTTTGGACAGATTATTCTTCACTTGACGGATTACAGGAAAAAAAAGTCAAAAGTGGTATCTTCAATTCGATTAAACACAGTTTTAGAAAGAGTTACCTCATTTTTGAAGATATATATCAATAAATCCAACCAAGTAAATGGACTGAATATCTCTTTCAAACTTCAAACCTGTATGTCTGTACTTTTACTTCTGTTGACTCTCAAGTAAGAAGAAACTCAAAGAAATTCCTCAACAATCACTGTTATTTCTTTCTTTCTGTTTCCTTGTTCGCTATTTATCTTTTATTTTTTGATAAGCAACGGATGAGAATAATATTGGATTTTGCTTAACATCAAAAATGCATGTATGTAAGATTGTAATCTAATTAGACGTTATAGCTTACCAATTTCGCAGGTAGTCCCAGTGTAGCCATCATCACATACGCACGTAACGGTGGGATCTCCATCAGTACAAGCTCCTCTACTCATACACGAATCGGCAGCACAAACGACTAAATATGTGAAAATTGATTTCCAAAGGCAATGAATTTGATGAAGATGACGAGAATTTTTTTTTTGGACAGATTATTCTTTACTTGACGGATTACAGGAAAAAAGAGTCAAAAGTGGTATCTTCAATTCGATTAAACACAGTGAGAGAAAGAGTTACCTCATTTGTGAAACTATATATCAATAAATCCAACCAAGTAAATGGACTGAATATCTCTTTCAAACTTCAAATCTGTATGTCTGTACTTTTACTTCTGTTGACTCTCAAGTAAGAAGAAACTCAAAGAAATTCCTCAACAGTCACTGTTATTTCTTTCTTTCTGTTTCCTTGTTCGCAATGAATCTATATTTTCTTTATAAGCAACGGATGAGAACAACTTTGGATTTTGCTTTTCATCAAAAATGCATGTATGTAAGATTGTAATCTAATTAGACGTTATAGCTTACCAATTTCACAGGTAGACCCAGTGTAGCCATCATCACATACGCACGTAACGGTGGGATCTCCATCAGTACAAGCTCCTCTACTCATACACGAATCGGCAGCACAAACGACTAAATATGTGAAAATTGATTTCCAAAGGCAATGAATTTGATGAAGATGACGAGAATTTTTTTTTGGACAGATTATTCTTCACTTGACGGATTACAGGAAAAAAAAGTCAAAAGTGGTATCTTCAATTCGATTAAACACAGTTTTAGAAAGAGTTACCTCATTTGTGAAACTATTTATCAATAAATCCAACCAAGTAAATGGACTGAATATCTCTTTCAAACTTCAAATCTGTATGTCTGTACTTTTACTTCTGTTGACTCTCAAGTAAGAAGAAACTCAAAGAAATTCCTCAACAGTCACTGTTATTTCTTTCTTTCTGTTTCCTTGTTCGTAATGTATCTATTATTTTTTGATAAGCAACGGATGAGAATAACATTGGATTTTGCTTAACATCAAAAATGCATGTATGTAAGATTGTAATCTAATTAGACGTTATAGCTTACCAATTTCACAGGTAGTCCCAGTGTAGCCATCATCACATACGCACGTAACGGTGGGATCTCCATCAGTACAAGCTCCTCTACTCATACACGAATCGGCAGCACAAACGACTAAATATGTGAAAATTGATTTCCAAAGGCAATGAATTTGATGAAGATGACGAGAATTTTTTTTTTGGACAGATTATTCTTCACTTGACGGATTACAGGAAAAAAAAGTCAAAAGTGGTATCTTCAATTCGATTAAACACAGTTTTAGAAAGAGTTACCTCATTTTTGAAGATATATATCAATAAATCCAACCAAGTAAATGGACTGAATATCTCTTTCAAACTTCAAATCTGTATGTCTGTACTTTTACTTCTGTTGACTCTCAAGTAAGAAGAAACTCAAAGAAATTCCTCAACAATCACTGTTATTTCTTTCTTTCTGTTTCCTTGTTCGCTATTTATTATTATTTTTTGATAAGCAACGGATGAGAATAACATTGGATTTTGCTTAACATCAAAAATGCATGTATTAAGATTGTAATCTAATTAGACGTTATAGCTTACCAATTTCACAGGTAGTCCCAGTGTAGCCATCATCACATACGCACGTAACGGTGGGATCTCCATCAGTACAAGCTCCTCTACTCATACACGAATCGGCAGCACAAACGACTAAATATGTGAAAATTGATTTCCAAAGGCAATGAATTTGATGAAGATGACGAGAATTTTTTTTTTGGACAGATTATTCTTCACTTGACGGATTACAGGAAAAAAAAGTCAAAAGTGGTATCTTCAATTCGATTAAACACAGTTTTAGAAAGAGTTACCTCATTTGTGAAACTATTTATCAATAAATCCAACCAAGTAAATGGACTGAATATCTCTTTCAAACTTCAAATCTGTATGTCTGTACTTTTACTTCTGTTGACTCTCAAGTAAGAAGAAACTCAAAGAAATTCCTCAACAATCACTGTTATTTCTTTCTTTCTGTTTCCTTGTTCGCTATTTATCTATTATTTTTTGATAAGCAACGGATGAGAATAACATTGGATTTTGCTTAACATCAAAAATGCATGTATGTCAGATTGTAATCTAATTAGACGTTATAGCTTATCAATTTCACAGGTAGACCCAGTGTAGCCATCATCACATACGCACGTAACGGTGGGATCTCCATCAGTACAAGCTCCTCTACTCATACACGAATCGGCAGCACAAACGACTAAATATGTGAAAATTGATTTCCAAAGGCAATGAATTTGATGAAGATGACGAGAATTTTTTTTTTGGACAGATTATTCTTCACTTGACGGATTACAGGAAAAAAGAGTCAAAAGTGGTATCTTCAATTCGATTAAACACGGTGAGAGAAAGAGTTATCTCATTTTTGAAGATATATATCAATAAATCCAACCAAGTAAATGGACTGAATATCTCTTTCAAACTTCAAATCTGTATGTCTGTACTTTTACTTCTGTTGACTCTCAAGTAAGAAGAAACTCAAAGAAATTCCTCAACAATCACTGTTATTTCTTTCTTTCTGTTTCCTTGTTCGCTATTTATCTTTATTTTTTGATAAGCAACGGATGAGAATAACATTGGATTTTGCTTAACATCAAAAATGCATGTATGTAAGATTGTAATCTAATTAGACGTTATAGCTTACCAATTTCGCAGGTAGTCCCAGTGTAGCCATCATCACATACGCACGTAACGGTGGGATCTCCATCAGTACAAGCTCCTCTACTCATACACGAATCGGCAGCACAAACGACTAAATATGTGAAAATTGATTTCCAAAGGCAATGAATTTGATGAAGATGACGAGAATTTTTTTTTTGGACAGATTATTCTTTACTTGACGGATTACAGGAAAAAAGAGTCAAAAGTGGTATCTTCAATTCGATTAAACACAGTGAGAGAAAGAGTTACCTCATTTGTGAAACTATATATCAATAAATCCAACCAAGTAAATGGACTGAATATCTCTTTCAAACTTCAAATCTGTATGTCTGTACTTTTACTTCTGTTGACTCTCAAGTAAGAAGAAACTCAAAGAAATTCCTCAACAGTCACTGTTATTTCTTTCTTTCTGTTTCCTTGTTCGCAATGAATCTATATTTTCTTTATAAGCAACGGATGAGAACAACTTTGGATTTTGCTTTTCATCAAAAATGCATGTATGTAAGATTGTAATCTAATTAGACGTTATAGCTTACCAATTTCACAGGTAGACCCAGTGTAGCCATCATCACATACGCACGTAACGGTGGGATCTCCATCAGTACAAGCTCCTCTACTCATACACGAATCGGCAGCACAAACGACTAAATATGTGAAAATTGATTTCCAAAGGCAATGAATTTGATGAAGATGACGAGAATTTTTTTTTTGGACAGATTATTCTTCACTTGACGGATTACAGGAAAAAAAAGTCAAAAGTGGTATCTTCAATTCGATTAAACACAGTTTTAGAAAGAGTTACCTCATTTGTGAAACTATTTATCAATAAATCCAACCAAGTAAATGGACTGAATATCTCTTTCAAACTTCAAATCTGTATGTCTGTACTTTTACTTCTGTTGACTCTCAAGTAAGAAGAAACTCAAAGAAATTCCTCAACAGTCACTGTTATTTCTTTCTTTCTGTTTCCTTGTTCGTAATGTATCTATTATTTTTTGATAAGCAACGGATGAGAATAACATTGGATTTTGCTTAACATCAAAAATGCATGTATGTAAGATTGTAATCTAATTAGACGTTATAGCTTACCAATTTCACAGGTAGTCCCAGTGTAGCCATCATCACATACGCACGTAACGGTGGGATCTCCATCAGTACAAGCTCCTCTACTCATACACGAATCGGCAGCACAAACGACTAAATATGTGAAAATTGATTTCCAAAGGCAATGAATTTGATGAAGATGACGAGAATTTTTTTTTTGGACAGATTATTCTTCACTTGACGGATTACAGGAAAAAAAAGTCAAAAGTGGTATCTTCAATTCGATTAAACACAGTTTTAGAAAGAGTTACCTCATTTTTGAAGATATATATCAATAAATCCAACCAAGTAAATGGACTGAATATCTCTTTCAAACTTCAAATCTGTATGTCTGTACTTTTACTTCTGTTGACTCTCAAGTAAGAAGAAACTCAAAGAAATTCCTCAACAATCACTGTTATTTCTTTCTTTCTGTTTCCTTGTTCGCTATTTATCTATTATTTTTTGATAAGCAACGGATGAGAATAACATTGGATTTTGCTTAACATCAAAAATGCATGTATGTAAGATTGTAATCTAATTAGACGTTATAGCTTACCAATTTCACAGGTAGTCCCAGTGTAGCCATCATCACATACGCACGTAACGGTGGGATCTCCATCAGTACAAGCTCCTCTACTCATACACGAATCGGCAGCACAAACGACTAAATATGTGAAAATTGATTTCCAAAGGCAATGAATTTGATGAAGATGACGAGAATTTTTTTTTTGGACAGATTATTCTTCACTTGACGGATTACAGGAAAAAAAAGTCAAAAGTGGTATCTTCAATTCGATTAAACACAGTTTTAGAAAGAGTTACCTCATTTGTGAAACTATTTATCAATAAATCCAACCAAGTAAATGGACTGAATATCTCTTTCAAACTTCAAATCTGTATGTCTGTACTTTTACTTCTGTTGACTCTCAAGTAAGAAGAAACTCAAAGAAATTCCTCAACAATCACTGTTATTTCTTTCTTTCTGTTTCCTTGTTCGCTATTTATCTATTATTTTTTGATAAGCAACGGATGAGAATAACATTGGATTTTGCTTAACATCAAAAATGCATGTATGTAAGATTGTAATCTAATTAGACGTTATAGCTTACCAATTTCACAGGTAGACCCAGTGTAGCCATCATCACATACGCACGTAACGGTGGGATCTCCATCAGTACAAGCTCCTCTACTCATACACGAATCGGCAGCACAAACGACTAAATATGTGAAAATTGATTTCCAAAGGCAATGAATTTGATGAAGATGACGAGAATTTTTTTTTTGGACAGATTATTCTTCACTTGACGGATTACAGGAAAAAAGAGTCAAAAGTGGTATCTTCAATTCGATTAAACACGGTGAGAGAAAGAGTTATCTCATTTGTGAAGATATATATCAATAAATCCAACCAAGTAAATGGACTGAATATCTCTTTCAAACTTCAAATCTGTATGTCTGTACTTTTACTTCTGTTGACTCTCAAGTAAGAAGAAACTCAAAGAAATTCCTCAACAGTCACTGTAATTTCTTTCTTTCTGTTTCCTTGTTCGCTATTATCTTTATTTTTTGATAAGCAACGGATGAGAATAACATTGGATTTTGCTTTTCATCAAAAATGCATGTATGTAAGATTGTAATCTAATTAGACGTTATAGCTTACCAATTTCACAGGTAGACCCAGTGTAGCCATCATCACATACGCACGTAACGGTGGGAT